ACCCGACGATAAAATTTGTTGGATTTTTTAATTTATTTAATATCATTTGGATTTAGGTATATTTGTATTTCGTTGTAAAATATTGCTGGTGGAATAAATAAATAAATAATCTTGTTACTTCAACCTTAAAAAAATAATTTACTAGTGCATTGTTTCAGTTTTAAACAATATTTGTTATAATTTTGCCATACTTGAAAGAAACATAAAACTTATCAATGTGACTGTTATCATCAAAACAATGCTCCGATATGATAACAAAGCCTAGAACCGCCAACAGCTCCACTGCTTCAAGAGCGGTCAGATAGGAGCAGCTTAGATATGACGTCATACCTAGACTGCCGAGCAGCGCCAGCCAAATGGGTTCTAAAACAGATTGAAACCACAACTCTGCATGTTATTAAATATAAATATATATTATTTCTGAAGGAAAATAGACAAAAATATGTTGATACACCTATACACATACACTTCGTTAATATAAATAGAATATTCTAATAAAAAAAAAAAACTGTGCATACTGAACAAGAATTTCAATACTGTTAGTGCAGAAGGTCTTATATAAAAATTTATTGTTTTACAAGAGTGCATAAAAACTCATTATTTCTTTATGCTTTATTAGTATAATTTCATATTTTATTGTCATCTGCTATTTTCCATAGTAGCAGACTACTTATATCAGTTGCAGATTACCACAGGCGGATTTATGGGGAGGGGGCTTTCGGGCTGAAGCCCCCCCCCCCAAAATGTTAAAATGTAACCATGTTTTATGGTAAAAAATATTAAAAAATTATGTCTTGAAGTATTGTTGCTCGTTTAATTACATTTAATAGGACTTCAAGAATCACTTAAACACCATTTCATATAGGTAGTTAGTATCCTTCTGTTTTTCCAAAGTAATTATCGTTATTTTTATGAAAAAAAAAAATGCTTCCGGGCTGAAGCCTCCCCCCAAAATTAAATCCTGGATCCGCTAGTGCAGATTACAACATGTCATCTTTAATACAAATAGAATAAAAGTTGAAATTTTTTACATACGACCTTTTGCATTAATAGTAGTGATATACACTAGTAGATCCAAATTTAATTTTTTTTGCGGGGGGGACATCAACCCGAAAGGTTTTTTTTTTCACATATATATATATATATATATATATATATATATATATATATATATATATATATATATATATATATAATTATCGTTATATATATATATATATATATATATATATATATATAACGATAATTAATTTGAAAAAAAAAAACGCTGCAAATTATTTCATAATGGTTTATTATTTCCAAACAATTATACATCTAAAGCAACATTACCTTTCTAGTTATAAAGAAAAATAAATAATAGGTGATTCAATTATTGGACTAAACTTTTTTTTAATCATTAGTAATATGCTAAAAAAATATCATTACTTCAGTAACACATTCAAATTTCAAAAACCAAAACAAAAGATATATATATATATATATATATATATATATATATATATTATATATATATATATATATGTATGTATGTATATAACCTTTGCAATAGAAAATCTAAAAAAATACTAGAGACCATATCTTTGCTCCTAATTATCCGATTTTAACGATTTTTTTTTTTGTATTTTAGAAAATTCCGACAAAAAGTGTATACTTTTTGAGTTATTCGGAATTTAATTTTACCATCCCTCGTAACTTTTTTTCCAGCTTTTTTTCATTGAAATATGTTATACAGATAAATTTAAAGGGCGTCGAGAAAATGACTTTAGCGAAGTTTCATTGAAATCGGTACATTCGTTTAGGCGCTGCTGGCTATAGCAACGCGCGTAGTAGAGCATGTACAAGAGAAATTAGTGGACAGAATTCAATAAAATTGACACTACATTATTTTTTCACCAATATCTACCTTTAATCAAACTTTTAGCCAAATCGAACGATTTCTTTCGGTAATATTGGCATATTTAAAAAAATACGTTTGCGCCCTCGTAAGCGGGAGTGCTGGATATAATTTGATAAAATTGATATGGGACCATCTAGGCACCAATCAGCATAATCCTTGAAAATTTCATGAAAATCGGATTAAGGGTAGTAGGTGATATGCCCGTAACATCGATTTGAATACTGACAGACAGACACCGAACCAAATTTGATCCTTGATGTCTGAAACGTAAAACGGGAGTGGAAATTTTCGATTCTGAGCACAATTTTTTTTTTAATCTATCACACGAACACAATGCTTTCCTACCTTCCGTAATGAGGAAGCAAAAGTCTAATAAATGGTATAAGTATAAAAACTGTTATTATTATTTTTCAATGCTTAACACTTTTCACAGTCATTATATTGTTAACAATAAATTTAACAAATTGGCTGGTGCGAATAATTCGCATATTAAATTGGCCAATGAATATACAATATGGAAATAAAATAATTATGAGAACGGAGAATTCATTTAATTCGCCAAGGTTGATTATAATGCTTCGTTCAAATAACAATAAACGGAAACACAGGCGGATCTATGGGTAGGGCTTTCGGGCTGAAGCCCTCCTCCTCTCAAAAAATGGTAAAATGTTTTATCAAAATAAAAATTATTTCTTAAAGTATTATTGTTCGTGTAATTACATTTAATGGAAAGGAACGAAAGGAAGAGCAAGGATTACTTGTATAATCTCAGACATATTCTTGAAGTTGAAGGAATTGGATGGGTGGAAGCTTGGAGAGCAGCCCTTGACAGAGACGGATAGAAATCCTTGTACAAAAATCTCTACAACGAAAGGTAGAAAAAATTATTGAATAAGTAGAAGGCATTAATAACTGGAAGGCAGCAACACAAAAACAAACAGAGATGACTGGCGATCAATACTGGGGTTGAGCAAGACTCAACATGTAAAGATTTTTAATAAAAAGGCAAGAAAGGAAAGGTTATATATATTATTTTATATATCATGCAAATATATATTATATTGTAGATCCTCTGGAATGAGCAATGTTAAAGAAAAAAATTAATAATTCTAAATAGAAATTTATTCATAACAAACATGTTTATTCATTTTATTAAACACAAAAGTACAACATAATGTGGATTTTTAGATTAACTACATCTCTAAATGCATAGATCACCATCCATATCATAATTCCAAAGGTGTGATACGTAGAGTATCTACAGAAAGTAGTGCTGAAGATAAATAAAAAATTATTCATTAACACTTAATTCGATCCAACATTATTGATCTACGGAACTCTGTAATTTCTTTGGCATAGAAGACAAAATTCTAGTGAACACTTAAAATTTAGGCCTTAGCAGTCTTTGCGGTTGAAGAGGTAATAGAAGACGATTTCAACTTCAGACTTAATAAGATACCATAACATACACACCATTTGGTAGTCCGTTAAACTAACCAATAAATGCCACACCAACAGAAATCATAACTACTAAAACTACTCATAAATTCTATAAAAAAATATGCCTACTATCTCAACCCAATTTAATTTTGTGACAATATATATCAACTCTAATGGGCACCAATCAAAAACGTTCACGTAAGCCGTGTTCAGCACAAGGAATAAATACATAAAAAAATAAAAACTTCTTTAAGGATAAAATAAAAATCAAAGAAATTGATAAAACAATCAATTTACCTTATTAATATTATAATCAAATTGATAATTAAGTAAACACTCGAAATTTTAAAATTTAAAAATGAGCATATTATTTCGAGATTATATAAACACAACAAAACTAGAAAAAAAATGATTTGTCTTTTCATTTTATACATCTATTCTCTTCAGTATTTATTATAATCAATAATTTAGGGATAGCATAAGTAATCGATTTGAATTCTGTTGAGTAGAGGAATTTATATTTTTAAACTTCAAGAGTCCCCAACATCAGTGACTCGAACAAAATTATATTTTTTATGTTCTAATATAATCTACAAATCTAAAACTAAAATTACAGTAATGAATAAGGAATCAAAATGGTGAGCAATTTGCTTAAATATTGAATAATCATGAAATGAAAAAAATAGATGTGAAATATATATCATGCCATGAAAAGTTAACTGAATAAAAAAGATATTTTAGAGAATAGCTATATAAAAAAAAAATACAACTCCTTATACAAAAGAGAACCAACCGAGGGCAAGCTTATGCCTGACGATGGTTTATCAAATAAATAACATGCAAAATGATTAAATAAACTAAGAGCCTTTTTTCTTGATTAAAACAAGCAATACCGATACTTTTGATAGCATCTCAAATTATTTCAATTACAAAAACAGCAATTTTTACATTGCCTATTTTTTTACATCTACCATATTATCGGCTAGGTACATTTCAATAGCTCAAGTACAAAATTTCTTATAACCTTTAAATATTTATTCATTTTATAATATATATATAAATATATGTATATGTGTATATATATATATATATATATATATATATATATATATATATATATATATATATATATATAAATACATATACAAATTTAAGGCATTAGACAAATTACAAAAATGTGTAAAAGTTTTACAAAATTTAAGATTAGAAAATTTGAAAAAATTCTATTTCCAACTAATTTTTTTTTTTTTTATATTATACAAACATTTTCAACATTCACCACTTAATTCACAATAAACGGATGTAAATTTCGTTAGAATGATTTTCACAATTTGGTCAAATTAGTCATTACATAAGCAGAAAAGACAATTACACAAGTAACATAAAAATATACACATCACAAAAATACTTTTTAAAAAAATTATTATTATTAAAAAAAAAGGAAGAAGACAATTTATAAAGACTGAATGATTTTTACAATTGAACGGGAACAATTATGAGCATTAAATTCGAGTATTGTCTTTAACAATGTTTAATATATTGTCAATTTAAAAATCCAAATAAAAACTTATGTAACGACTAAATATTGTGCCTATTTGATCATAAGTTTTCCACTAAACCACTAAGTTTGAAGGCCACCATAATTTTTTTTTTTTTTTGTTTTAAAAAGCAAAATGTGTACAAATATCAGAGTGGATACCTAAAAAGATATGTACCCAGAGATAATATTTATGAAAAGAGCAATTGAACAGCTATAATTTGGCTAAGGCAGATGCAGAAAATTTCCGTCAGGCAGAAAGTGAAAAATATATATTTAAATAAAAAAAAAAATAGTATTGAGTCTCAAAACTGTTAAGCTAAAATATTAATTTTTTTCAATGTTATTTTTAATCATTTTATTATGAACAATTAAGAAGTCTTGAAAAGATAAAATAACAACAAAGGGAAGACGACTTTTTCCCATCATACTTTTCATTTTAAATGAGTATTGGGTATTAGGGCATACAATTAAAATTAATTGTGCTTAAAATTATATCCTATGTTTCATACTAAAAAAAAATTAATAAAGTTCATCAATATTCACAGTAAGATAAAATTTCAACAGTAATAAATGTATATATATATTGTTATATTTTAATACATATATTCAAAAACACACAAATGTAAATTACGTATTCATGTATACATACATATTTGAAGTACTTCTAAGGTATACAAACAAAGGATACTTCAAAAATGCTTATTTATTTATTTTTTTGGAAGGGGTAAAGTATAGGTGTGTGCCTGCGTTAAATATATGTATAAATAAATATAAGAACTTTTCTATAAAACTAGTCTAATAAAAAAGGTAACGACAACACTATTGTGAACACTCATGGTACGTCGATAAACCAATGGTCAAGTTCATTAAAGTCGACTCAAAAATTCGGAGTAAAGATACAACGCTAATAAGCAATAAAAAAAATTCAATCAAATTCTTAAAAAGGATGTTTAAATTTATTTAACAGATGAGGGAGGAGTAAATTTAATAAATCTCCAGAAATTACAATATACACGGCTGGTATTCAGAGTACAAGACGATATTTAATTTTCGATTATTATTGATTGCGATTGTAACAAAAAAAAAGTAAATAAAAATTATAATTAAATTATTATTGGAAAATCCATACAAAAGCTTTTCAATGAGAATATAATTATTGGTATTACACATTTCTGAATAATGTTTATTGGCAATAATCATTTCAATATAATATACGGATTCCCAATGAATTTAAGTAAGTAATACAAACTACTACAAAGTTAGAAAACTGCAAGATACTTTTCCTACCCTAAAAGATTTGACGGATCAGTTACAATTAAACCCCAGCCAAATATTCCTTAAAATTGATATTAAAAAAATTAATTTAAAGGTAAAAAGTTCACTTAAAATCTCATGTTTAAAATTAAACAAGAAGTTTTACTTTAAAAAATTCGACCAGAGGTTAATAAGTCTAACAGATCTGCATCTGCCATTTTTTTTTTGTTTTTTTTTTATTGTTTTTAAAAATATTGGTTTCATATACAATTAATTCCTAATTACTTAATGCCTATGTAAATGTGATACGACTTCCATTTTGTCGTCACGATTTGCAAAAGGATTACGTAGGGGAGGAGCCGCTATTGGTACTTGGTGAAAGGTATGGATTTTACGAGGGGATCGAGATTTGATAATTCTGGGATTGTTCATTTCTTCAAGAACGGAAGGCGCAACATAGGTGAATCCCTAAAAAAAAAAACAAAAAAAATAAAATAGTATTTAAATTTATTCTATGTTAAATAATATAAATTAGAGCAGGAGTCTCCAAGCTATGGCTGGCGGGCCGAAAGTTTTTGGCATAATTTTAAAAATTATGAAATTTATTAAATCAGTCGAACAAACACAAAGATATTACAATTTTTATTGCATGCGTTATTTCTCTTCACAATTGAAGTGTCATTTATAGAACAAACATTTTTTTTTTATCACAAGCTATGGTGTCCATGGAAGAGGCCACAATGCGGCCCCCGAGCCAAAAAGTTTGGATAGTCCTGAATTAGAGTAATGATAAAAACACATAAATTATTAATTCCAAATTTTAATGGGTGTAATCAATTTTAAAAATTATGTAATTTGTATAATTATAATAGTAAAAAAAAGAAGTTGGTTGGGGATTTATATAGTCATGGAAGTACAAAAAAAATAAATTATATTTATTTTGTTTGGGCTTATGTTCTGAAATGAACGAGATGAAATAAACAATAATAAATTAATTAATGTTACCATTGTTATTATTGTTTACTTCATCTCTTTTAAAGTAACAGTACCAAAGCTACCTCCTTCTGGAATTCTTTACCAATCGCACGATATGGCAATCCTCATCCATAAATTCCTTCAAACAACTCTTATTTCAACACTTACTTCATTTTCAAACTTCCGCATCTATGTAATACTTATTGGATTCTGTAATTACAACTGCTCATTAACAATTAATCGACAAGTTCCATTTGATTTTACTTCATTTTTTTCTTTGTATACATTTAAACCAAATAAAATGTACTTGTGTTACTTTGCATACTGTATACTTATTCAAGTATGATTCAATCACAATTGAAATTAACATTCAAATGACAAGGTATTTGCAACTGATCATTGTATTTCGTCAAGTATTGTATTTTGCCAGATTAATGGGCCAATTTTTTTTACCATGTTATTATTCTCATGGGACTTCAGTCCCACAATAAAATTATTTTTTCAGTTCTTTTTTTTTCATTTTCAAAGCATGGACAATACCGTATTGGGTCTCCTAAAATCTTCAAGAATGGAGGGCGCAACATAGGTGAATCCCTAAAAATAAATAATATAAAATTAATAAATAAATAATAAATAAAATAAATAATAAATTAAGTTGTTATCATTATTTTATTATTTCTTACTTCATCACGTTATTTCATAACTTTCCAACTTTGTTACTGCCATTTTATATGGCCTAATTTCGCTAACGTTATTTTATAACTTCTAACTTTGATACTGTTACTATAAAAGTGATTAAGTAAACAATAATAAAATAATGATAACAACTCAATTTATTACATTTCACTGAATCAAATGTTGCATGCCAAACATAGAAGTTTAAAGTTGTTTTTGCTCTATAAATTTTCATTAATAACTGTTGATTGAAGAGTTATTTTACGTAAATAACAAACGTTAACCTTTAGGTTTGGAGAAGAATCAAGGGTGAGGGGGAATTAGCAGCTGTCAGGAACGAAGCCCTCGTGACCCAAGCTGTGGTTAGGTAATCCTATATCTACGAGGGTGGTCTGAAAAGTTTCCGACCTAACAAAAATACACGACGTTTTTCTGAATTTTTGTTTTTATTTTTCAACATAGTCTCCTTGTAACTTTACACACTTCTCCCATCTCTGTAACCGTCCAAAAAGTACTCTGCCTTTTTCTCTGCAAAGTAATTGTTCACGAAGGCGATTCCCTCTTCATTTGACGAAAACCTTTGTCCTCCGAGAGCAATTAGATAAGGGAACAAAAAGAAGTTGCTTGGGGCTACATCTGGTGAGTAAGGCGGATGCTGAAGCAGTTCAAACCGTAATTTGTGGATTTTCGCAATGGCAACTGCTGAGGTGTGAGACAGTCTTGGTGAAACAGGATTTTCTTTTTCTGCAAATGTGGTCGTTTTTCAACAAGTTCTGTCCATCAGCCTGTCAAGTAATGATGCATAGTATGCTCCTGTAATGGTTTTTCCTATTTGAAGATAGTCGATTAAAATAACTCGATAACTATCCCAAAAAACAGTCTTTGCTTTTTTTGGAGCCTGTTCTCCATTTGCAGTCCACTGTTTGGACTGTATTTTCGTTTTGGGCGTATAATGGTGTATGCACGTTTCATCTACAGTAATTAATCGGCACCAAAACTCGGATTTATTGTGCCTAAACTGCGCCAACATAGAGTTAGAAATGTTCATTCGAGCACATTTTTGGTCTAACGTCGTGAGCAAACATGGCACCCAACGTGGGGACAGCTTTCTCATATATAAATGTTGATTTTAATATGTAACTAACACACTCTTTTGACATGTTCATAACCTCTGCTATCTCTCTCACTTTAATCCGGCGGTCATCTAGCACCATTTGGTGAACTTTGGCGATGTTTTCGATATCATATAGCAGTTTTTGGACATCCCGAACGTTCATCGTCTCCCAAGCTCTTACGGCCAAGTTTAAATTCAAGTGCCCAAATTTCACTGTGGTAAATGATGGTGCAGAGTCCCCATACACAGAATTCAACTCATCTTTGATTTGCGTGTATTAATTAACCATCAACTCACTCAAACGACTTACATAAAAACTGCACGTCCAAAATGGACAAAACTTGAGTGAGTAACTGTCAACTGATGAACAACGAAAATTCACTTGCTTTTATTTACAAGAGCTGCCATCTTCACGGTGCGGTCGCAAACTTTTCAGATCACCCTCGTATGGCTTTACTCACGGAATGTAATGATAACATTCAAGTTATAGACAACGAAAAATGTGCATGGGAACTTGTAAGTATCAGAAAAAGTAACATAGTTGCAGATGAGGACTGTAGAAAAAAAAAAAGATCCCTGAAGATAGAAATCCTCGAGTGGTCATTGAAGACCTTCACCACAACAGAAGAAATTAAAACGGATTTAGAAACATGCAGATACCAAACAGTAGGTATAACTAACACTATATTACACTTCAAATGGCTATCGCTGATGTTTTTCATTGATATCAGTAAATCTACTTTCAATGAAAAAATCATGAAATTAATAAAATATTTTATATGAAGGTTTCAATAGAGGAACTCAAGAAGAAGAAAAACATCCCACAATGCATAAGATGAGAAAAATACGGACACCCCAGGTCTTATTGCAATCACTCTCCATGGTGTGTCCGATGTGGACCACACGAAAGTCTACATGTAAGAAAACACGAGACACTCCGGCAAAGTGCGCTAACTGTCAAGGCGAATATCCGTCAAATTGAAGGCGAATATCGTGGGTGCCAGACTCTTACAAGAAATCAGGTTCAGTGGAAGAAATCTGAGAGCTGCTATCCATGAGCTTTCATTAGACACTATATCACCTGATACAACGACATATTCGTCAGCTTCACGATGGAAAACTCCAGGCCTACTTAACTTTTTTAAAACCAAAGAACTATGGACCTCACCTTACACCATAAATACAAGCTCTGACCATTCCCTTATACTATACACTTGGTTATCTTAGATGAGCCCATCAACCTTCAATGGGTCATAAACGACATGGCTACGACTGACATGCCCATCAGGAGGCGACTAAAAAAGAGCTGGATGAGAAATCTCCTCTCCTGAACAAGGTAGTAAACAAAGACCAGGAAGAGGTGCTGCAGGATGCTATCCTTCCTCAGCCTATAATACCCATCATTCAATTAAACACGACAAATCTGCTGATTGTCATACCATCATACCATGACAGGTGCGAATAAATATTTGTAGTGAAAAAAAAAGTCACTAAGTTTTTATCATTATTTATTTATTTTTTATTTTTTTACCGTATCACTCTATTACCTTTATTTCATGACTTCCTAACTTTTTTACTGTTATTTTATATAGCCTAACTTTGCTAACGCTATTTTATAAGTTCTAGCTTTGGTACCGTTACTTTACAACTTCTTAAATTTATACATCATTGATTTTCTATTCCATATATCTAGTAATGTTAAGTTTAACTATCTATATATTATTTTACTATACTATTTTACCTACATATTAAGGTTATTACTGTCTATTATTTTCTTAGTATTTATTTTTTAACTAGGAATGAGGTAGCTTAGTGGTAGAGCATTAAATTCTAGTGCTCAAAATCCCAGCTGATGACAGATTAAATTATTTATTCTGTCTTATTGGCCATGGATTGACCCTGGGTCGGAAGACTCTCCTAATGCACAGCCAGCCTCTATAAAGTGGGTACTCTTAATTAAATAATTGATTACGGGAAAAACCTGACAGTTGAGCGTGATCTCGGTTAAATCACCTGCTTGCACAATCGTTGACCAAAAACAATACTTCCTTACAAAGTAATGAACCCAAGACCTTTCATGGGTTATAAGTTTTCTTATTTCTTATCCATGGCGTGAAACCTAGCTCGAAACTAGCCCTTATAAAGTGGATACTCTTAATTCCATAATAGTTAAAGAGGGAAAAACATGGTGGTTGGGCGTGATCTCAGTCAAATTACCTCCTTGCACAACCGTTGGCCAAGAAACACCACTTCCTCACAAAGTACTGAAACCAAGACCTTTCATGGGTTGTAGACATTTTTTTTTTTTTTTTTTTTTTCTACAGCATGAAACCTAGGACGAAACTTCAGCACAAAGAAAATGAATATAATTTATTTTTTGTGCATTTCTGTGACTGCAATTCCAACGAATTTCTCTTGTAAGAACCAACAGTCAACAATTTCTCCACCATAATAATTATAATTATTTTGCCTCTACTACATAATTGTATGATTTGCAGTTACGTCATTGTTCCATCAGATGAGCGATATGTTACTAAAATTGTTAAGTTTGAAAAATAGAAAAAAGTAAGTGTAAGCACCTATCAGGGCTCTGCTGCAGATATATTTCCCTATTGAAAACAGATTAAAAGTGATTTAATGTTAAGTAAATTTAGGAAGGTTCTGAACGTTGTGGGTTCGATTCCCACCTGGGCCAGTTACTTTTCATTTCTCAGACATTCTCACTCTGGTTAGTACGTGGTGGTAACCTCATGATAACCATAAGGAATTGGCAAAAAGGACCGTGATAGGTCCACTTGCTGCACTAATTCCTCCACCAGTACCAGTAGGTAATTTTAGACTGTTTATATTTTTTTTAACATCAGGATTTTCATCAATGACAGACAGTCTATCTAAAATTTTTTGAAGTGAAAACTTCTTTAGGAGCGTTTGGGACTACTTTTTTGTGGAGAGTGAATTAGATTGAACAGTCAGGTTCCTGGTGTGTATCGCTCGGGTAAAGTCAGCTGGAGCCAATCAAAAACTAAAAACCGGACATACATACTGTAACCAAGGAAATTATTCAGCATTTCATCCTTACTTTAATGAGCTTTTATTGAAAATTGTAACTTAACGTGACACCCTGTCAGAGTTGCGAAAAGAGAAAAATTTTGCCAAAAATAATTATAATGAGTTTTATTGAAGATTAATTGATAATTAAAATATCGCAGAAACTAAAAATCGGACCTGTATACTTGTAAGCGAGGGAAATGAGATATTATTTATAATTTATATTTCATATTATTAATCTCACCTTATGTGGTATAAAGCAAACATCTTATACTCAGAGAAGTTTTCAGTGTATTTGTACCGTATTCATCTCTTTTTCCTTATTTTTTTTATTTAAAAAACAAAATCTGGAAGAGCACTCGGTAAGACAGTGTCGGACAACGAGGAGTCCTGAACTCTAAGAAATATAATATGAGACGAAGAATACCAACACTGTTGCAATATTTTATGTTTTTTAGTTGCAATATTTTATGTTTTTTAAATAGAAAAAGTGAGAAAAAAAGAGAATATGGTGCAGGTATACTGGAAGCTTCTCTGAGTATAAGATGTATTATAGAATTATATAAATTATAAAGAGACTCTCATTGGTAAAAATGCTGATCTTCAGTGATTTATCGTTTCGTAAATCATTAACTGAAGAAATTGAGTAGAATTTTAAAATCAACTGAATGCTGACATTCTTTCTTACCATTATTCAAGTCAATGATTGCTCATAAAAGAGGATATAGAGGGAAATAAAAATTGTTCTTTCGCAAAACCTTGGCTGGGTCCGCCAACCGTGCAGCTTTGTCTCTGTGAAAATTGTTAAAGTTATTTTTTGTTGAAAATTAGTACCAGCACTAATATCGTACTGTAAAAATTAGAGCTAATACGAGCGAGAATTGCGGCACAGAAAGCGTCAAGTTGAAGATTATTCATGAGGAGCTGGGCTGTTATCAGGGAGTTGGTTGAGACAAGCTGCCCCCCACCTAGAAGCTTCAAGCTGCTGCCTTACTCGCTAAGCATGTGTTGTTGTTTTCATTCTTACTATTTATTATGAATAAGATAAACGAGCAATAACTCTAATGTTTTGCATAAATTCATTTCAAACAATTGACTTTGTTTTGTGATTTTAAACTTGAGAATGTTTGTTTCTTTAATTATCCGGCAACAATTGAATTCAATTAACCTACTGTTATTACTTTTTATAATATTCATTTATTTTTACTGTCTGCACCTATAAATATATCTTATTTTCGCATATGTAGATCTGTAGGCATGACAGGTTGAATTATTATGTATATACATATTCATAACTATGTATGTTAAACTTTCCCCCGAAAGTTATGAAACAGATTTAAAATGCACCCCTCACACCTCTCCAATGATCTCCAATATAGAGCAAAAGTATATTATTTTTTAAGAAAATATAAGAAAAAAATAATAACACAACAAAAAAAATATAAGAAAAAATTAAAAATGTATACAATACCTGAAAAACCAAATTTAGACTTTCACTAAGCATGGAATCTTCAGGAGAATCGATAGGTGTCTGTCTAGTGAACTTGGTATCAAATTGTGATACATCATCTGCACCAGACTGAAACAGAAAAAAAAAATATTGAAATCATTTACGGTTTCAATGTCATATGACTCATCATAAAGTGCAAAAAATGAATACAACATTCAAGACCTAATAAGATAATTACAAATTTTTATGAAATTTGTGAAGTATGTAATTTACATAAATTTAAAGGGCATCGAGGAGAAGACATTAGCCAAGTTTCATTAAAATCGGTACGTCCATTTATGCACTATAGTTTATAGTGGCACAGATTTTTCAGGCGCTACCTTGAAAGAAAAATATGGTCACGCTAAGTTTTGAAGATCATCGTCAGGTACACTTTGACATTGATACCACCAAATATGGTAACGCTAAGTTTTGAGGATCATCCTCAGGTACACTTTGACATTGATAACGCCAAATCTCACAACGATCGGTCCAGTAGTCTCAGAGAAAACCCAGGAATTTTTTTTTATTTGAATTTTAAATTCTACATATCTTGAAACATAAAACCTCAAATTATGAGGGGTTAACTTTTTTGCTCTTGGTCGATTACAAAAGTTGATTAGTGAAAAAGAATTACAATAAAATTATAAAGCTACTCAACTACGCTGAGTTGCTAAAACATTGGGCGTACTGATCAATCTCCATCGACAATATTTAGTGAGAGAGAACAAAAAAAAGGATAAATCACTATAGGACGATCATCCAAATTACAAAATATTATAATTTATTTATTCACTCCTATAATTTTCTTCTCCTTTCCATTGATGTAGGATTTCCAGTGAGTTCAGAATAATAGATTCTGCCATACTCTGCAGATGGTTCCTTACCGAACCGAAAATTCTCTCTTACCAAATTCCTCTTTATATTTCTCCTGTAGGTACAAAATGCATTTTTTATAGATATCCTCTTATATTTTGAGACCTTGATCTTCATCGTTTGTTTTGAATCTAATTGTAGGATCAACTATCAGAGTCTCTTTACCTTTCGCAATAAAGGCTAAGATATATACAAATATCTCTTAGCCTTCCTATCAATTATCAAGACAATATATTTTGAGAAAGCATCTATACTTTTTCGTCTCCCGGAATTCAGTCCAGCTAATAAAGCAAAACATGGAAAGATATGTGGATGAAAGATCTTCTAAGCTAAAAGATATAAGATACTCAATTGTATGAGCTAGACTCCAACAGCTCTAGGTGTACCCGAATCTCTAATTAATATCGTCACATAGTTTCCACCACTTCAGTTTCATATCAATTATCTTTGAAAATATGAATACAAAATTTTGTGACTTTTTTGAGTTTTTATTCTTATAACATAAACTTTACAGATGAATAAAAACTAAAAATTCGTACAAGCCCCTAATTAATGAATATATAAAACAATCATTATTAAAATAAATGAACACGCCATAATTTGACATGTCATGTCTAAAAATAAAATTAAATAGGTAAATCAGGGTGGTAACCAGAAAGTGAAAGTAAAATTCTCTGACATTTCCCGATTTAATAACAGTTTTCCGTGACCAATATGTCTGGGGACACAAATATTAAAAATGTATAATTAATAACAAAATGATTTGAGTAAAAAAAAAAAAAAAAAAAAAAAGAGGAAGCATTTTTTATTTTTAAGCTTGATTAGGATTTTTTATTACAGAAAACTAAATGTTTAGTAATTTATTTTCATAAACCGAGATTAGGTAGAACTTGATACTTGACATATAAAGTTCTGATTGTCTCTATTATAAAATAAAGTGAGCTACAGAAGATTCTAATATTAATCGTTTCTCATAAGTAGTTTAGTTCCATTATTACTATAAACGGCATAATAATTACCGATGCACTACCAACTGTGACATGTCTGGTTAATATATGTTTTTTTAAGGAGAACCATAGGTCAAACGATTGAGTGCTTGCCAACCAGATCTTGAAGTAGATTAAAAATATTAAATAGTGTTGGTATGTTTTTCTTTTCAATGAAATACTGTTTTAAGTTCATTTTGCTTAAATGTTATTAATTACCGTTGTTTGATTTCAATATAACGACCAGTGCCGTTATTGACAGCCAAAGGCTTGGGATGAATATAGCGCCGTGGTTGTTTATAACGACAAAGTTTATCCCTTATAGGTCATTTAAGGAATATCCACTGTATATTTCCTTTCCTTTATAGCCCGCTCTGTCAACTTTTGGAATTCCCCCCCCCCCCGATCAAAATTCGACATGCCCCTTCCCTATACACATTCAAAAACCTCCTATTCCAAAAACAGTCAGATACCAGCTAACTATTAATACTATATATGTATTGTGTAGCAATCATATAATCATAATACTTGGTAAGAGATAGTACATGCATTTCCTACTATCGACGTAGGAATTTCAATACATAAATTTTTTTTTTTACTCAATTATAATTAACTGTTTATTTTTATATATATATTCAAGTAAAGTTTTTTTAATGAAATGAACTCATTGTATCTCTTTTTCGTTCTTCATTTCTCAAAGTGTATGTTTATGTTGTTCAACCCTTATATATAGTTTTGTTCATAGTTTTAATTGTTTTGTTCATAATTTTAAATGCTCTGTACATAGTTTTATCTGTATTGTATATAGCTTGTGCACCTAAGGTTTTCTTTACTTTTTATTTTATTTTATCAATTTTATTTATTGTTTCAAACTTTTAGGCCAGTAATATTCTATTCTTTTGTACAATATTATTATTCTAAAGGGACTTAGTCCCAGAATTTTTTTTTAAAGTTTTTTTTTTCTATCTATCTATCTATATTTATTTCCGATTTGAAAAAAAAATTTATCTACTAAAAAAATTCTCTGACGTCGGTTGTGACCCTGTAAATTGACTACATCGTCGGTTTATTTAAAAAAAATCATTAAGTGACATTTCATAATCTTAACTAGTTAACGATTTAAAAGATTTGTCCTTAAAGAGTTTGTTATAACTATATTTGATGTTTCATTATCATGCCCTTAATGAATTTTTGCAATAAACCGACTAAATATAAATTAAAAAAAAAAAAAAAGAAAAATTATTACATACCAGCGAAGGTTTAAATGGAGCATCAACTTTCCTGCACATTACATCCCTCCAATTTATGTTCTTAAAGAATGGGTGTCTCTGGATGATATCAACGTCTCCCGGAGAGGACCCTAATCTTTGTGCTACCTGCCTCTGTAATTTAATTATAATAAATTCTTAAAAATGAGTTAATTCTTAATTTATTATAATGTTTCTTTCGACCATTATAAAATAAAAGTAAAAGTACTAGAATAAAAAATAAATAAATAAAATGGTACAACGATTAAACAAACAGATACACAATACAATTTTGTGATTAAAGCTAACTTATTAGAATTATCCATCAAACCTTCAATAACTTTCTTATTAAGTCTCTGGCATCTGGTGTTAGGTAAGGAGGTAGAATGAGTTTTCCACGAAGGATTTTTTCAATTGTCTTTTTACGATTTTCTGCAGTGAATGGCGGCTGAAAAATAAAAAAATTAAATAATAATAATAACAAAAATGTTCAATTTGGATAAAATCTAAACCTGTATGGATTTGCTCATTTAAAAATTATGAAACCTTTAATTTGTCTAATAGATAAAAGAAAAAGCAGTCGAGCGCTTTCCTCAAGAAGTGTAGCGTGCTGCTAATGATGACTGGCCACGGAGATTAAATGTCTGTGTCAAGGCAAAAGGGGAACATTTTGAGTAGTTTCTTTTTTTTTTTTTTTTTTTTTCTATAGAAATACATTTTATTTTCTAATAAAGTTTATGAAAAAATTAATTTTCCTGTTGAAATCTGTATACATTTCCTTGTAACGATATTTATGACAGTTAATTAATTTTCTCAACCCAACCTGAGAAATAATTTGAAGTCTTTAAAATAATTATTGTGTGAAATAAAAATAATTTGGTTCAGAAACTATTTGTTTAGTTTTTAATGGAAACATAATCTAATATATATATATATATATATATATATATATATACACACATACACATATATATTAAAAATTTTCTTAGTGGCATTTTGTAATAAACCTATGATATGTTTAAACAGATTTACATAATAATTAATATATTGATAATATTAATCTATTAACTGTCAATATAATACATGAGTAACCACAAATAATATATCAGAAAAAAAAAATTTTAATTTAATACTTACAGCTCCGGTAAGCATATCGTACATAAGAGCACCAAGAGACCACCAATCTACAGCTTTTCCATGCCCACTTCTAGTCAAAATTTCAGGAGCCCTAATAGAAAACAAATTTTTAATTTATTTGCAAAATTTATTGAATAAGGAAAATAGAATTTTTATAAGTACTTATTTAGTAGTCAGATCAGGTGAGAACTAGACAAAAGTTAAGATGATTTAGTTTAGAAACCAGCAGGGAGGAGTAAGGATTAGGAGGAGTGGGGCAAAATTATGGGATTCGGAGAATATATTAGCTTCTGCTATTCAAGAAAATTATAATTTAATAATATAAATAATAACAGAAAAATTAGAATTCATTTATTATTAGATAACATATGTTTAATTCTCATAACTCATAGAAATTGATAATTTTTTTTTTCCATAAAATCATGTAATAATTATTATTTGATTTTTAATTTAAAAATCATACCTCATTCATAAACAGAAATCTATAAATTGAAATCGATCTTAGATTTTTATTGATTTGATTAAAAATAGTGATCACTATTTTAAATAAATATGTTTTTAAATAAATAATAATAATTAAATTGTGATAAAAAAAATACAAATCGCCTTTTACACACAAATTAAATTATGTATTAATATGTATGTATAAGTTATTATTGTACACATTTTTTAATATTATATTTCTGAAATAGCTTTAATTTTTAAAAAAGTATTGCTCAAGAATTATTATTTAGAGATGGGAAAATATGAGGATGAAACAAAATTGTCAAGAATTTCGTTCACGATAATATTTATTGGCCCACATGTTTGGGTCAAAATATTACCATACCCAATAAATATTATTTCTACTGAAATTCTTGACAACTTAATTTCATTTTAATTAATATTATTGCGAACTGTAAACATTTTGTTCAAAAATAATTATTAGGATATGATTTTTCTTATTTATGATCAAAAATAAAAATCGCTCTTAGTGAAAATCATCAAATGATTTTTAAAAATCTGGCGCGCATCACACACACCTTTCACTTACCACCCACTTCTTAGTAGAAAAAGGTATTTTCAGACAAGGGAAAGTAAAAATTATAGACACTATATTTATTTATATTTCATTGTGGGTATTTTTATTTATATAAGTACCCTTATATGTACATATTTAATATTTATGTCATTGTAATCTATATAATTAAATATTAAATAATACCAAAAATAGCATTTATGAAAACCACATATGTATATTTATATAACGTTGTTGAGTCCGTATTATATTAAGCTCATGAATTATTATTATATTAAGCTCCACTGAAAAATGCAATTCAAATTTTTTTACTATCGCAATACTTTCCTTTACTATATATTTCATACATATATTATTTATAATTTATATTATTAATCTCACCTTGTTGATGTTTTCACTTCTATCGTGTGAAAACACCACGCACTGTTAACGCCGCGTTCACTCATATCTTTATTTTTTTAATTATTATTTTTTCTCACCATTCACCCCTTTTTAAATGTTAATAATGAAATGTTTATTTATTTTTTTGGTAAAAAACTGAGAGAAATGTATATTGTACATATATATTTAGGTTTATTCGCGATGTTTATCGCTACACCAGCCCGGCAGTAATACTCAGTCCTAAGGATTAAGACATCAAAATAATGACGGGATGCGGTCTAAAGTCAGTCTGGTGCTAGCCTTTTTGACATAAGATCCATGTAGTGGACGTCTACCCCCACCAGTCCAGACTCACCTCACCTCACTTGGCAACAGCCTAGCGGCATTTTCAAAGAACAGCTGTTGGGCGCATCGGCAGTCGTCGATCGAGATCGATTTGATATTTCCTCACCAACGATTGTGTAACATCAAAAAGGTAACCTCGCTGGAAGCAGAACCTCGAACTTGGCTTGTTTTTTTTTTTATTTTCACCGTTACCAAAGATATTTGAACATTCAATTCTGTTTCCATTATAAATTAGGTTTATTCTTTTTGGATAGTTATTTTTTCTCTCTTGGTTTTATCTATAATTTTAGAAGTTGATTTTATTTATTTTTCTAATGTTTAATTTGTTTTTATTTTCTCTGAATATTGTATTTTATGTTTGATTTTATTTTAGTGCATCTTGATAATTTTTTTCCATTGTTTATTTGCTTTTAACTACTGTATATATTTTTTTAATCTCAATAATAAACATTGTAAACGTTCAAAAGGGGAATTATTTATTTTTCATTATTGATTTCTTGGATATTTTTATTTTAATATTTTTGGTGTGCATGCATTTTTCATGTTTTACAGGTCTCATTTTCGCTCATTTTTTCCCTTCTTTCTCACCCTTTAATTTTACTCGAATTTTTCCCACCCTTGAGGAAACTCAGCGGGGAAAGATTTGTATTTTCAATTTTGAAATATCCCTGGCTCCAACACACACACACCTTATTTTTTTTGGTATAATTGTTGTATTCATTAATTAGTTTCCTTTACTTTATACTGTAATTAGTCCTTCTACCTAAATTTTCTTTTTTCCTTTGCTTATTTATTTTTTGTAAATATTATTAATATTGTATATTGTAATGTCAACATTACATGGCATTTAAATAGTGGCCCGAAAGTGGTAACAACACGAACTACGGGAAGCAAGCCTCATGTGGCTCAGAAGGTGACGGGCCGCCAAGAGAGAAGGTGATAGCGGCCAAGAGAGAAGGTTATGAGCCGTCAAGAGAAAATGTGACAAGCTGTCAAGAGAGAATGTACTAGCCAGCAAGTTGAGAAAATAGAAAGAGCCACAAAGTTTAGACTGGGACAATAAAGGTTTTTGAAAACAATAATAAATTTTATATGTATATTTAGTGTATTTAGTAATTAGTGAATTATAGTTATTTAATGTTGAATGAGTGTTCAGTTGTCAGAACCCAACCTGAGATTTATGTTATGTGTTAAAATAAATAGTATATTGAAAAAGGAAACTCGTTGTTTGATTTATGTTGACAAAGGGAACGTTACAATATATTTCTTTCTATAAACAGACAACTAACTAGAACCCATCTCTTTCTTTGCTGCTTTATTATGGCCAAAATGGATATTCATTTATTTTTTCTATTTTGATTTAAAACATAAAGGCTAAAAATAGCCAGGCGCTCAACAAATTAAGTTTGTTATACAATACAAAATTATTATTAATAAATTGTTCATTTTTGGTTATACTATTTACATATATTATTATTAATAAATTGATCGTTTTTTTTTTGGATATACTACTTACATATATTCAATGGTTCCACAAAATGTATGGGTGATGGTTCCTTCACTGATATGCTCTTTGCACAATCCAAAGTCCGTCAATTTCAAATGACCTTGGGCATCCAATAAAATATTTTCTGGTTTCAAATCTCTGCAAAAGAGTAAAATGAAATATAACTTAAGATAAGACAAACATATTTTAGAAATTGAAAGGTGTGCTACAAAAAGGAAGCAGCTCCATCTTAGGGCTGTTATAAACACTATCTTGTGCAAAAAAAACAAAAAAAAAAACGCTTGTTTGGCACAAGAAGGATGTAGCTTCAAAATAAAGCACTGACACACATCTCCTTTAAAATCATATCACTAGTATACAACGCCAGCAACAATTACTTTTTCCAGTGGGTGCCGGGACAAGTAGGAATATCAGGAAATGAAATGGCAGACAAAACGGCAAATCAATCAAGACAAAAAGTCGAGGCTGGAGGGTGGTGGGGTGCAATCTGAAATTTGACATTATTTTTATAATAAGCGCCTCCGAAAACATAACAGTCGACCCGTATATTGATTATATTTGAAAAATCGATCAGAATGATTATTTCACAACATTATTCCTGAAATAATTATATCATTATTCCTGAAATAATTTATTCCCGAAATAATCATTTCGGAAATAATGGTCAGGTTATTTCATGAAATAAATTAATTCGGAAATAACTATCGAGGTTTATTTAAGGATTTATTCCGGGAATATTTTTCAAATAAATTCTGCCCAGGTCTACTTTAAGCGTCCACCTCTCCACGCCATAGCACATTATATAATTTGAGCTTTGTGCGTTTTGATAGTAGGGCAAATTTAATCAACCTAGAGAGACCGTAATAAGCTTTGTTGCCACAAATTATTCTTTTCATAATCTCATCATTTATAAATATGACCATTTTGGCTAATCATATTTGTCTTATTCAATTAATTCAGGTAAAATAATTATTTTAACTCGAGGACTTGAAATAAAATGGCTAAAACTCTCATGTAAGCTAAAGAGTTCAAAGTAATATAACTTTAAAAATTAAAATTCATATCATTCCTTAAAAATATCAAGATTTTTTGAAAAAATTATATCAACGTATCAACAAAAGGAAGCAGAAAAAAATAAAATTATATCTTTTTTTATATTAGAAAAATTCTCCTCACCTGTAGATGATTCCTTGTCTATGTAAATGATCCAAAGCTAATATTATTTCCGACAAGTAAAAACTGAAAACCATATAAATAATAAGAATGAAAAGTTAGAATATAGAAAATTATTTTATAAAATTAGAAAGAACAAACCACGCTGTATCCTCTAGAAATATCCCTTCTCTTTCTAAATGCATGAAGAGTTCTCCGCCGCTTAAATATTCCAAGATCAGATATAATTTTCCTTCAGTTTGGAAAGCATACATAAGGTCCACGATGAATGGGTGCTGTAGGAAACAACTTAGAAATGTAAAGTAACAGAATTAAAAAAAATAATTATAATTGTACTCGGAATTTATAATTGTACCTTTACAGCTTCTAAGATGTTGCGCTCAGCTTTAGTATGCGCGGTATCTTTTTGATTTCTGACAATTGAAGCTTTTTTAAGCACTTTCATAGCAAATATGGTACCGGAATCTTTTCCAGTGAGTTTTTTGACTTGGAAAACTTTTCCATATCCGCCTCTACCCAAGACTTTTGTTAACTCGAAATCCGCCGGACCCGCCCTTTCTCTGCTGGGGTTGGCATTTGTTTCAGATAACTCAACAGCATCGATATCCTCTGATCTGAAAAAAAAAAGTAAACATTACTGGAAGGGCTATAAGAAAAACATGTTTGGAAGATATGTCAATCGATAAGTATAAAGTTCAGATAGACTGAGATAAAATAACAGGATTGAAAAATGTAAAATCCGGCTGGAGAAAGGTGTGATGATTTAATGATTTAGTTAACTTTTTTTAGTAGGGCATATTGTGTACTGATTGTATTATCTTTTTTACTTTCCTACCTATACTAGGTAAGGAAAGCATTGCTATCGGGTCAAATTTCCGACATGCGGTTTTCAACGGATCTATACTTTTCGGAACCCCCGGAGTCCGAAAAACACATTTTCAGCCATTGGTCTGTCTGTCTGTCTGCGCCAAGACTTTCTCGGAAACTACTGAACCGATTTTGTTGCTTCTTTTTTTAGTTTGGAGGGTTTTGACTTCTGATGCCTGTGACAGAAATTCGGTGCTCCATGCGCAATAAATGAAAAACATGTTTTTCTATAGACTGTAGCGCAAAAACGGCTCTAACGATTTTGATGAAACTTTCCTATAATGTTGTAATCATTGTTCTTTCAATTTTCGTATATAGACTAAATTCTCGAAAAAATTCAGGAAAAAGTTATAAAAAAAAAGAAAAATGTTATGGGGCCTAACTCCCTAAGTATACGCTGTTTAGCCTGTCGTTTGAAAGGTGATGAAATTCCTTACAAAGCCATATAAAACTTGTTCATTTTGGACAACTATTAACGAAGTTACAGCTATTCAATTTGCAATGTAAGATTACGGTTTCATATCCTGGTGTCAGAAAGGGGTGAATGAGAGAATAAAGATGACTAAGTGAAAGTAATAAAATCTGTTGCCCATATCACACAATCTTCACTATTTGCTCTATTTTTAACAGAAATTATTGCTTGACAATACTAAGCTATGGCAAAAAGTTTTTGATCAGCAATATTAGGAAGTATTGAAATTTTTACACTGATCTACCTTAAGCCGGTTTATATTGCTTTAGTTTATCAAATAAATCCTACTCAAATCTTATATTTGATATATTTTAAGGAAAATGTATCTGGTTCAATTCTTTATTGTTCCTTCATGAACATATGTAAAGATATAAAAATTTTTCTAAAATAGGTAGGAAAGTCGTGTGAGTGGATAAACCAGATTTTTTTTTAAATAAGAGCAGTGAAAATCTCATCCTTTTATATTGTTAAGGGAATGGTTTGGTCAAAGGGAATTTATTACATAGTGGTCTCACAAAATGAATCTCAACCTTTCCACTTTGGTTAGAATAGGTTTGGTTGTAACTCAAGAACAACCCCCTTAACCAGAAATAGCGAGGTAGGTGTAACAATAAAAAAAAAAAATAGAAAAATAAATGGCAGGGTTTGGTTAAAAATAAAATAATTCATTTTTGCAATATATTTATGATTTAAAAACCCAAAAAGTCACCTGAATACCCATCCTCTTACCGTCCTATCTCCCTACTTCCCATCATTGGAAAAATACTAGAAAAACTTATAAAAAATGCCTTTACCCAATCCTAGACTAAAATAAAATGATTCCTGACCACCAGTTTGGATTTCGAACATCTCATTCCACTATTCAGTAGTGCCATCACGTGGTGGATATCATTTCCTCAACACTGGAGTGTGGAATATACTGCACGGCAGCTTTTCTCGATGTGGAACAGGCTTTTGATTGAGTCTGGCATGCAGGTTTACTGTACAAACTCCGTCAATTCTTGCCCCCTACATATTTCCTATTAATCCCTTCTTACCCCACAGATAGAACCTTTAAAGTAAATTGTAACTCTGCTTATTCATCTCTCTTTTCCCAGTCCGCTGGTGTTCCTCAATAATGAACCAACTATTGCATCACAAACCCTGCAGTCACACATTTCAGCCATTGAAAAATTGTGTACAAATTAATTAATAAATTAGGAGAATTAAAATTAATCCAAACAAATTACTTTTATCCTTTGCCGTAAACCTACAACATCCTGTCCCACCATATCCTTTAACAATATTCCACTATTCTCTGTCAAACAGATCCGTTATACTTAGGACTCCTTATTGATAAACACCTTACCTGGAATCCTCATACTAGACTTAAAAGACAAGAAACTGCCAACAGATTCCGACTACTACAACACTTACTTGACAATCGCTCTAAACTTCTAATTCTAAATATTCTACAAAAAACTCATTTACACTACCACCATCAGGCCCATTTGGACATACGGTATTGAACTTTGGGGCTCTACAAAAACATCAAATTCTTCCTGTATCCAATCCTTACAATCCGAAATCCTCCGTAAAATCCTAAATGCTTCTTATTATGTAACAAATAAAATTATCCATAAAGATCTCAACATTGCTCTTTTGGAAGACTTGGCCCGAACTAGATATACCTCTTTTCATTCCAAAATCTTTGGTCACCCCAATCCTCTAGTTTGTAACCTTTCATCCAACACAATTCCTGACAACCCTCCGTGGCGTCTGAAAAGAAGATGGCCAAGGGACTTCCTAAATTAATCAATCTTTGAAGTGTTACCGATGGGTAGCTTCTTCACAAGTACCTTCATGTAATATATTCCTATAGCAGATTTACTGGTTGTATATATGTTTACAGTCGTAAATTTCAATAAAAATATTTTTAAAAAAAATTATTATTTAAGTGAAGATAAATAATTTATTAGGAATTCTACAGACAATTCCAATTTTTGGAGGGAACTATATTTTTATGGTTTGAATTTGTTTAAGGTTTAAATTTGGATAAACTTTCAACCCAGAGAAGAAAGGAAAACACATAGGGTGTAGGGTGGCCGAGTGGGTAAGGCGTGTGTATAACAAAGCGCCCTGCCCCAGTGCCAAGAGAGCCTTTAACTCTGACATTCAAAAGGCGAGGAAGGGAAGGAAAAAAAAAAACTCATGGAACAGACCACAAGTGAAATTTAAAATAAACTAAAATTTTTCCAAATTTTAGATAGATAGATAGAAAGTAAACTTTATTCTGGGACGAGATCCCTTATGAATAAGATATGAACAAAAAAAAATAAATAAAAACTACATCTCGCCAAAAATTACATTAGTCAATATTGAAGAATATATACACAGTATCTTCAGTGAAATTATATTAAAACAAGTAAAAATAACACCATTTTGAGAAAAAAAAAAATTATTTAAATGAAAATAAAATAAGCATGGGTTGATTTTTAAAATTAAAACTCAATTAATTTTAACAACCATTCACCTCAGTCAAAATCTGTTTTGCAATATTTATTTTATTGTATAACGTCATTTTGGGATGTGAGAAGGAATTGGTAAAGATGATATTTAAATGAGGACAAGGAAGAGGCATGGCGGATTTCAGATGGCAAGGAATTCCAGAAGGATGTGGATCGGAAAATAAAGGAATATTCAAACGTCTTAGTTCTATGGGAAGGGATATAAAGGTCGGAAACATGGGATCTTGTTTTCTGGGAGTGGACCACGAGTTTAAACTGTAGATATAGGAAGGGTGTCGGGTGTTGATTGTTTGGAATGGGAAAGATTCAAGGAAATATTGTCTGCGGAAAGAAGTGAAGAGCCACTTTAACTCGTCGTAAAGGTGGGACACATGAGACCGCCTCGATGTACTGAAGACAAATCTTAAGGACATATTCATGAGTCACTTCAATCTATCCTCGAGTACCATCGGGATGCCTCCGTACACTACACAGCCGTAGTCAAAGTGGGGGATAATGAGAGAGAATACAAGGAGCTTGCGGAGGGATTGTGGGAGTTGGTGGCGGGAGTGATGAAATAGCTTAAGGGTACCTATTGACTTACAGAGATGAGGGCGATATGGGGTTTTCAGGAGAGGTTTTCGTCTATGGTGATTCCTAGGTTTTTAACGGAGGAACTGAATGTGACAGGATGATCGTTGATGACTAAAGGAGGAAGGAAGGAGATGGATTTAAGAATAGAACTGGAAACTATAATAATGGCCTGAGTTTTCATCGCGTTTAGATTTAAATTATTCAGACTTGCCCAGGCACTGATCCTATCTAGGTCTGCCTTTTATGTTCATTTTCACTAATATTAAAAAGAGATCAATACAATTTCTTGGGAGAGTTTATCGAGAGGTTGAGTCCATCGATCTTGGAGAAAAGGGGAAGGGCATGGGTACCCCTACCTCTTATCTAGGAAGAATATTCTTTATCAAATTACATAACCGAGTTCAGTATCAATAGTTATAGATAACATTGCATAATCAGGCCTTTTGGGGTATCAGATATTCAGCCATATTGGCAATTTATAAAGGAGTGATCTTGTGTATCCTGAGATACATGTCCCCTGCATGGAGTCAGGATTTCTCTGTTGTGAGTCACTAGAGCTTACGAGGCAGTACAAGTCTTAGCTGGAAGTATTCCAACTGCGAAAAGTTTTGGCGGATCAACCAGTGAAAGTGAAGGCACAAGCAGATGGAAGAAAATTCTTCAGGAGGACACATTAGAAGAATTGAACTAATGATGGATGATATTGCCAAAAGGAACTACACTGTAGAAATACTTCTCCACTATTGGTTCATAATGGAAAAGACTAGGATTTTCCCACACTATTAGAGCTTATAGTTCCTCACGGGGCAAGGAGGTTTCTGACTAAAGCTTGTTTAATATGTTAAGAACACTCGTTGGTTCAACCCTGGAAACCCCGTTGCTGCCAGAAATGGTGGAAGAGGACATCGGCTGAAAAGAAGAGCCAGCAAGCTGTGTGCACAGCGGGGGGAAAAATAATGTTATTTTTTTTAATACAGCAGCGAGTTGATAGCAAGTGCTGCATAACACCCATATTGCCTTACAGGCAGGGTATAAATAATTTAAACTAGTAGGCCCGTGCAAAAAATTCGTACAGCATATAGTTATCAAATGTCAAATTAATAAGAAAATAAAAAAATGCAACTTATCAAAAGATTAAGACATCAAATGTTACTTTATCGATAAATATAATCCACAAAGCAAACAAAAATTAATTTAAATCTTCATTTTTGTTTGAAACCAACATGTATACAAATTTCAGTAAGCTGTAATTTTGCTAAAAATTGTCCGATTGCGATGATTTTTTTTCCCTTTTGTAGGATAATTTAGTAATCTTTTATATAATCATGGGCATAACCAAGGGAAAAGTGTGTAATTCTTCAGTTATTCGGAAATAAAGTTTATTTTCTTTCATAACTTGTTTGCCTGAATTTTCTGGGTGATTGGACTATTTTGCGAGCCTGAAGGAGAAGGAAGCCTTCGAAATTGGTGGCTCAATCTTGAGATTTGGTGAAAAATTAACAATGATATGGCTTGCTGATCAAAAAGACCATCGATAAATAATATAAACTCCCCCTCTCTCGATCATAGAGACCTCAAGTCGACGAAATGAGACATGTATTCAATGACAGTACTACAATTAATGTAAGGTTGTGTGGATGCGAACCCTATGCCTTGTGTTATCTCGAAAATAGTACGTTTTTCGGCTTAAAAACGCAGGATCCGATAGTTCCGGAGGAACTATCCGGGTCTTGCTGTACGCATCAAAATCTTCAAGATCCAATTTGTCCCGTATCGATCTACAGACCTACCACCGTTCCAGTATTGAAGCCTAGCAAAATGTTTGTATCGACTTTATTTATTTTAGAAAGAAAAACAAAAGTGGAGAATACGATTCGCTAACCCCCGTGAAATTCTGAATCCAACGGTACGCCATTCATTGTATTTGAGCATGACAGGAGCTTATATTTGGTACAAAACCGATTTCGAGCCTTACTGTAATAATATATGTGGGGATAAATAAAGGGTATAAATAGATAAATAACTACATTATACTTACTCAAGAATAATTTCATTCAAGTTAGGCTCCTCTAAGTCACCCTGAAACAAAGTTGTTGATTTAAGTTTCTTTTCTGATTGACTGTACACACTTTTAGTAGGACATGTTGGTTGCAGTCTGTGAAGTACAATTTTTCGTGTGCTCCACAACCAACTTGTCTTTCTAACTTAAGATAATTTTCTTTTAAATAAAATTTAAAAATAGTGTGAGTTCATAGCAAAAAGTCATTAAGAAAAATTTCATTAATTTAAATGATCTTTGATGAATTTTCTCTCTCAGGGAAGTCAGAACATTTTGCAGTGAAATTAATTTTATATATAAAAGCTCCATCAAAAACTTGAGTGACTTTTTGCGATAAATCAACATTATTTATATACTCATATCATTAGAAAGTAACATCATAATCAATTTCTATAGTATTAGACTGCAGCAGAGACCCCTTTTTATCAAATTAGTAACATCCGTTACGTACTAATATTCTCAGAAGTGAGGTTTTTTCTCATTAAATTAATTACTTTAATCGAAGAGAAGTTGGTTGTAATGTTCAGTCAAAAAAACAAAGTAAAAATAAATAAATGATATTTATTTTTTCCAATGTTTCGGTCCAAAGTTGAGGCCTAAGAAAAGACTAGAAAACAATAGATATGAGAAACCCTTAACATTAAAAAGAAAGTAATAATATGCTGATGAAAGGCATATTGTAATTGTCTAATAACATGTGATAGGATAAATTTAACATTAATAAATAAGTGGAGAGCCAGAAATATTAAATAACAATAACATAGTTAGGGATGGAAAGTAGGAGAAGCTAAGTTAGGATATTTAACATGGCAGTAACAAAGTTAGGAACAAATATTATAACAAAAATAACAATAACAGAGAAGAACTTATGAAATAATAAATAACGACAACTAAGTTGAGGACTAATGAAATACAAATAATGAAATTAGGTAACAAAAGAAACGTAATGGAATATTATGAGATAAAAACGTGAGTTTTAGACATAAAATAAATGGGGTGATGTAGTTTAAATTAATTTAATTAGGTACTAAATATTTGTGAATATCCATTTGCTTTCCACTTGAATCGTAACATAATTTTATCACAAAAACAAGAAAAGAAGGTATCTTACAAAAATATTGGGCCATTTGGCCTAAATAATCTCGTTACTTTGACGGAGAAGATCATATCAAATGGTCCAATATTTCTGTAGGCCAAGTTTTTTATGAAATTTTTGATAAAATTATCTTACGATTCAATTGGAAAGCAAACGGGTATTAATGAGTTTTTAGTACCTCATTAAATAGATAAAGTTTATCTATCTATAGATTGAAAACACTCCACTTCCAAGAATTATTGTAAATAACAAAGTTGAAGCCAATTACAAAGTTTTAGATGGATGTTAATAATTTGCTAAAAAGGAGTCTGTAACACAGATTATATTGGTGGTTATTTTCACACTCTGGTTAGAAAAGATACCCCATTACAATTATTTTATACGAAGAACTATCAGTTAGCTTTAGGGCAGTGGGAAAGAAACTTGAACAAAAAAGTTTTAAAACTTGTAGCATATAAAAAAAAAAGGATAGATATGATCCATAATCTTTCAATATTTTTAAAAGACAATGTGCATTAAACTTATAGACACTATCACGTTTATGTAATGGATGTGAAAATTGAATTTTTGGACTAATCAATACCATTATTAGTCTGGAAATTTCAATAGACTGGATAATTGACATTATTATACGCAGTAAAATTGCAACTAGGAACAAACACACAAGATATATTTTTTAATGTTGATGATGGAATATAATTACATATACGTAAAATTACAGAAAACTCTTCTTAGTCAATGTTCAAACACATGATGAGAAAAAAAAAAGCAGATGCATAGAAATAATCATACAATTTCCAGTTAGAAATAGAAATAGGAAAATAACTTTATTCTGGGACACAGTCCCTTGAGAATAACAAAATAGAACAAAATTAAAATATTACATCTGGCCAAAATAAAATCAATCGAAAAAAAGAAATAATGTAAAAAAAATATAAGGTAAAAATTCTATATACAAAACAAACTAAACTATAAACAAAACCATTAATACTATGACAAAACACTTAAAGCTATTTGCTCTTATAGACCAGTATACACTTTTCCGAAAAAAATAAAGAATTAAAAAATAAAAATGTATCAAATTCTCTATTAAAATCAGCTCGAATGGTTAGCAAGTATCTGACTGTTTTTGTGATAGGAATTGGAATAGGAGGGATTTGAATGTGGATATGGAGGGGGAATGTCGAATTTTGATAGGGAGGGAATTCCAGAAATTGACAGAGCGAACAATAAAGGAATTTTGGAATGAGGCAGATCTGTGAGAAGGCATGTAAAGGTCAGAAGGTCGAGATCTTGTGGACAGGAAATGGACTGAGGATTTGAACTGGAGAAGGTTGTAGGCGTAAGAAGGACGATGGTTGTTGATGATTTGGTAGAGGAACGTACCTAGAAAATATTGTCTTCGGAAGGAGGGGAAGAGCCACCTTAACTCAGTGTAGTGGTGAGAGACATGGGAGTACCTCGGGGCACCAATAACAAATCTTACGCAGCTATTCATTAATCCGAGTTATGTCAAAGAATAAAGTGAATACATTTTTATATTAAAAAATCTTAAGTTCAGAATCTCTAGAAAATTGCCTAGAGTATATTTAAATATAGTTTGTATGTTCAATTATTTTAAATTAATTAAGTAAGAAAATTTCAATCCTTATCCATCTCTGCTTATCTTAATCTTATCTTGATTTTTTTTCTAATTATCCGCATCCATCTCTATTGCATCTTCGTTGATTCTATCAAACCATCTGGTTTTTGGTCTACTCCGTGGTCTATTGATGTATTCATTTTGAATTTTCATCATGGCATTGTACACCCTTAATTTGAGATTGTTGTGGATTTCAATACCTTTGAAAAATCGAAGAAAGCTCTGTTAGCGCTTGCTATACACTAGTCTATTTCCTAGCATTGAATCGTTCATTAAGTTTATTGTGGAGCCAAGGAATTCGAATTTGTCCACTCTCAAGAACGATTTCCTTTCTACACAGATCCTGTTATCCGAGTGGGATTTTAAAATGATTATCATATATTTTATTTTATTACTTCATTTACTTTTAGGCTGATTTGCTCTGTTTCTCTTCTTAGAGAGTTTCTTAATGTCCTTTGCGATTGGGGAGTGTACTTAAAAAGCATAAATTAAAAGAGAGTTAATATGATAATGATACATTTTGTATTTAAGTTTAAATTACTTGTTTAAATATATAATAAATACCTCTTTGTAAAATTAAAGCTTAGTATCAAAAATAAAAAAAATTTGTACGTTTTCAAATTATCAAAGACTCTTACATATCTAGACTACAGAATATATACATATAAATTTTTTTTTTTGCTTTAAAACTCAATGAAAAAAAAAAAAAGCTCAGTCACAAACAGACTAAAATATTGGAAAACTATTTTATTTCAAGCAAACGTTTCGACCAGACTTTGCAGGTCTTTTTTAATGCTAGAACGGGCAAGATACAAAAGGATATAGAAAATCGTGGAAATTACATAGTATTTAGATAAAAATTATAAACAAGGTGAATAAGCTTATTGAAATTATAAAGTGTAAGTACATTGAAATTTTAAGAACAATGAGCTATAAAAACAGAGCAAACTAAGTAACAAGATCCTAAACTGAAGTAAATAGATGGTAACAATTGTAGTATAATATATGCAGTAATGAATGTACTCCTACAGATCTCAAGGAGATTGGAAGAAAAGGAAAAGTAATATGAAATAATGGACATAAAGGGATGTGAAGAAAGAAAAGAAAAATAAAAAGGTAAAAGAATAAAAATAGAGACAGGTTTGTGCTGCAAGGAGTTTCACTTAAAACTGGGAAAACTTAGGTATAGTATCCTTCCCAGTTTTAAGTGAAACTCCTTGCTGAACACGTAAGTCTCTATTTTTAGTCTTTTACCTTTTGTTTTTCTTTTCTTTCTTCACATCCCTTTATGTCCATTATTTTTCCTTTTCCTCCAATCTCTCCTTGAGATCTGTAGGAGTACATTCATTACTGCATATATTATACTACAATTGTTACCATCTATTTACTTTAGTATCTTGTTACTTAGTTTACTCTGTTTATAATTTCAATAAGTTTATCTAAATATTATGTAACTTCCACAACTTTCTATATCCTTATGAATCTTGTCCGTTCTAGCATTGAAAAGAACCTGCAAAGTCGGGTTGAAACATTGGCTTGAAATAAAACAGTTTCCCACTATTTTAGTCAATTTATGACAGCCACCCCGGACAATCTCTTCCCTCTAAAATACAAAACTGTTAACTATTAAGTATTCAATAAAACGTTTTTAGTATTAAATTTATCATTTTTAAAATGAGAATTATGTATCAAATAAGATGAAACTATAGTGGAAATTAAATTTTACTGTTTGGATTCTATTTCAGCTCAAATTTATAGAATTTTCCATTTAAGTACCTGAGTACTTATATATTTCTTTATTTCATACAAATTTTATCCTAGACATTTTCTCTTTTTCATAATTTTCCTGTGTCTGGATCAATCCTGCCAATATTATTCTGGATATTGACTCTACGGAGAAATCAAACCCAAACCTCAAAATAATGTACATGAAAGCTTCTTGAAAAATAATGATACATAAAACTATTATAATTTTTTTATCCTTATTATACTAAAAACAATGACAATTACTTTTTAGTTTTAGAAAAGTATCAGAGGCTTTTTTTATATGAAATTAATAACATTTAAATAAAACTTTATATTAATTATATCGGACATTTAAGATTTAAATTTTTCAATACTAAATCATTATTTTTGAAGATATAAATCTATTATATTTATTTATTTAATCATTATTTATTCTTATGAACGTAAACTAAAGGTTTTTTTGTTTTTTTTGTAAAGATAAGTTGGTTGGAGAGTTAAGTCCAAAATATAAAGTAAAGCATCTTACGAGATCAGTGCTGAACTTTGGACTGAGACATCGGTAAAAATAAATATTTGAAGAGAAGAATAGTTGAGATGATCAGTCAAAAAAAAAAAAAGAAGCAAAAATAAATAATTACATTTATTACTGCCGACATTTCGGCCTACTTTGTTGCCGTTATTATTTATTTCTTAGTTCTCTGTTACTTTTATTATTTTATCTATTTATTTGACTTAAATCTTCACTCTGTCTACATTATTTTACTGTAAGTTTATGCTACCTACATTTTTTAGTCTATACCTTTCACATTTTTAATTCCAATTCTGTATTATTCAATGTTTATATTTTCTTAAACCTAATGTTATCTGTTTATATTTCTTGGCCCTGATGAAGGTCTGAACTTTGAACAGAAAAATAAAAATAAAAATAAATATAATTATTTATTTTTACTGATCACTCCAATCATCCTTCTCTCCAATTATTCACTGAAGTCAGCCTTCAATCCACAATTATAAATATTATTTATTTATTTTTACTATGTATTATTCCCTGAACACCCCTATCAACATCTATTCAATTATTTACAACAGTCATCCATCATTTCACTATTATAAAGGTTTTTTAGTTTTTATGAGTTAAATTCTATATATTAATTTTTGTTTGATTGCAGAAATTAATTTGATACAGAGAGATTTTCAATACATGGAAGTTAAGACTGAATTTGAGTTTTATAATAATATTTTTATAATTTTAAAAAGCCCTTAATTTATAAAAATACAATAGAATGCCCAATATCTAAATGTCTGAGTTTAAGTTTGCTCAGATAAGATATTCCATTCTCATTACATTTACTTAGAGAGTGCCTTGGCACTTCTATACACAAACCTATCAGCTGATTTAATTCAAGAGATTAAATATCTTGGTTTGCTCCCTTATCTCTCATCATACAAACTCTGACCTTTCATGCTCTCGGTGCAAGGGAATGATTGGAACATAGTGTTAATAAAAAAACAAAACAATAATTTAAGATATTGACCAATTATAAGATCGCTTTAAACATGAATCATTTATTTCCAAAGTGAACCCAAATCATTATAAATAATTGTTCAAGAAATGTGAAAAAATTATTTTTTTTTATTTCAATCGTAAAATCCAAACATACACTTTAAAAAAAAAATAAATTCTTTATTTGTTGAACATATTCCTAAAAATCACTATTCTAGTAGTAATTAAAAAACATTGGAACTTGAATAGGTTCCCTTTTAGGAAGTAATTCAACTTTAAGACCCATTTTTGAACAAAAAAAAATTTTTGGAGAGAAAAAAATTATGTATGATTCAAGGGAAAAAAAGTTATAAAAATTATACTGTAAAAAATTAACTTTTTGTTTACAATAATGATACTATAAAATAATTTTTTTTTATTATAAGAATATCTAAGAAATGCAACTTTCAATACATTTCTTGAAAATATTTCAGAAATAAGCTTATTTTTACACCACTTAATTTTTTTTCTAATATTTAAGTTGTTTCTGAAAAAATAAAATAAAATAAAAAATTGTGTCATCGGTTTGAAATGAAATTAAAAAATATATTATTAGATATTTTATACGGGAATCGAAACTTATCTCAATTCCCATAAAAATCTATTAGGATTCACTTTGGAAATAATTGACACATAAAATATATATTTAAAAATCCCATAAAAAATTGTACTTAAAAAATGCAAAATGGTTATTTTTTTTTTTTTTAAATATAAGTTTCACTTTCCTGAACAGCTCTTAATAACAGTGTAATAGACTGCAAATTTAACATTTATAAATCCAGTTTCTCATTAAATTTAAATAGAATGTTTAAACTTATTTGTCTCTTGAAATGCTGGCAAGAAAATAAATAAAACATGATGAAATGGATGTTTTATTCACCCTGCCTAATCCCATACAACCATTGTACATAATAAATGTTCAATCATCTTTGACATAAGCTTTAAAGCATTGTATAAAGCATAATGATAAACAGGGCAGAGGACAGAATATAAAGACAAATCTTTGAAGCATTCCTTAAAAAAAAACAACAACCAATTCAAATAAATTGTCTGCTTTGCTAACCATCCCAGAAAAAATCAAAATGGCTGTGCTTACAATTTGATCATAGAACAAATAAGTTTTGTAAATATGGCAGATACCACTAGATTTAAAATTAATTAAAAACATAAATTTTAATTAATTCATTGGCAGGTCTTAAGGTGAAATAAATAAAAAAAATTATATAAATTGAATTTAGAAAACCCAGGGTCATGCTTCATTGAGATTGGAAAATGGTACATTTAAGAATGATCATTTTTGAGTTCATGACAGAAACTTTAAAGATCATTGAAAATATTCAGTTAAAATAACAATTGATATTTGGTAATTACAAATTACAGATCATGGACTAATGAAAATAAAAATTTTAAATGGATAAAAAATTCAACTTTAAACCAACCAAATTATATAAATTCCAGACCAGATAAACAAATGATGCTTTTGTAGGCACAACTTATAATTATTAAATATAAAACAAACCAACCAACATTATGGAATGTTGTTCTATTTACAAATAGTAATTTTTTGACAACCACTTTTTGGGCAATATAGAAAAAAAATCCTTTTTATTAAATGGTATGTGTATTCTCAAAAATTTAGAATATTTTTGGTCACTAACTATGAAGTATTCTAAACATATAAATTAGTGTTCTAAATAAAAAATATAAAAAGGCTAAAACTTATAAGTTATCAGTCATTTTATATTGAAGGACTCTTGTCATATGTTACACAACTAAATATTAATAACCAACACATATTAAACATGTGTGTGTGTATGAGTGGATATGATTGTTAGAACATGACTTGTTTAAAATTGTTATTTAACTGTAAGAGATGTGCATTTAACTCCAAAAAAATCAAATTTTAAAATTGAAACTTTTTTTTTTCAACAAAATAACAGTTTTGTCCTGTATGCATTGAGCATAACATAAACAAAATAACACTAGTAAATCATTATGTTAAGTTAAAAACCTCACAAGTCTATAAACTGTAATATTCCTCAAGAAAAAAAACAAGTCATACCTTGAAAAGTTATACTTAATGCTAAATTACTATTAAGCAAAAGATATTCTCAAAAAAAGAAGGATGATATTAAAATAACTAAAATTAAAAAAATTAAACCATTGTTGATTTAAAAAACGATAATTAAGTTTTAAAAACATTGAATTTGATCAGCAACGATATATTTCAATAGACAGCTAAAGATTGTTCATTACAGGTCCATTCCTGAAAACAAATCTTGAGGTAAGAAACAAAACATCTGTCCATTGCTGAAGTTCACTTATATAAGAGAATGGACCATAAAAATTAATCAATAACAAATTCCATTGTTGTAACGTAAAAATCTAACACGATTTATAAAAATCCATGCAGTTAAAATAGTAAACATATTCGAAATAAACACCTCTTCAACTTGGATAGTATCATCGTCTGAATCTTCGTCATGGAGATCCTCATCGTGAAGTTCAATATCGAAAATCCCAGCCATCATGAAAATACCAGGATTAAATAAGTGTAAGACATAAACATTCGCACTAAGTTGTTTCTAAGAACAACTCTTCTAACCAACTAACTGTTGAGACTTTCTAAAACAGAACAACAGAATAGGATAACATAACCTTTCTGGCACTACCTGAAAATAGCAGTTTAAGCAGCCTAACAACAAAAAATTACTTTACTAATTTTCATTTATTATTGTATAATAAAAAATGTATTATTGAAAATATCAACAGATAAGATATTATTTATTTAAAATTATAGAAATTATTAAAATATTTACAGTATTTGAATCGTAAACATATTTTTATGTTGGAAATGTTGGATCAAGAATTCTTTCATTTGGTGAAATGGCGGGTATTCTGGTGAGTCCTAAGTTCGATGACAGGATAAGAAAAAGAAATGCTTTATATAAAAAACGGGGCGAATCTCCTAAATTTCGTGATGTTTTGCGAGAAGTAAGTATTGTTTTACTATTGAGAACTTTTATTTCTCCTTGAGCCAAAGTTTTATTTTAAAGTTTAATTTTCAGAGGTGTCATGCAAGAATTAGAGCTAGTAGGTGTGCTCTTTTAGAAAAATTTAGAAATTTGAATGATCCTGAAGAGTTGCAATCTACCTTAACAGGAATCTTGAAAGAAGAAATCAAATCACTCACATGTAGTACTTATGACAACAGGTAAGAATCAGTTCTCTCTACCAATCTGTTTGAGTACATTTTTTAAAAAATATTTAATAACATTTTCTACATTTGAAATATGGTTCATTACAGTTCTATATTGAATTAAGTATTCGATTAAGATTATTGGTTCCACTGATAACACCATGTTGTTATCAATGGCCTGTGTATTTGAGGTTTCAGTTTATGCTTACAATTATTTTGAAGTTTTTTTGCGCTCCTTAACTGATTATAAACATTGTAGAAGTACCCAAAGATATTGTGCTGATTGCATACCTTGTTTGTTACTAGGAGTCTCTTAGTAGTACGGAATCTCTAGTCTGTTGTTTTAGTTTAATGATCAAGTTAATAGATTTTTATTTCTATTGACAATATATGTTACTATATTCTCATTTGTATTTCGCACATCCAGAACGAAAAGGATACAAATTAATCTCGCTTCGTTATATCTTGTATTAAATTCATCTTAATGAGCAACCATGAAGTATTGACCTGTAAAAGTAGAAATAATATTTGATCCGGGAATAAATTGTTTTGATATGAAAAATACATTGTCAAATCTTATAGTATGTTCTAATTTAATTCCAATTAAAACACATTTTTTTTGGTTTTTGACCTTGTTTTGCATGTGATTTATTCTATGGATTCTAAAATTATTAGCTTATGAGACAAAGATTCCTTATCCAAGCCTTAAGAGCTAAAACTTAGTAATTTAATGATACTAACATATTATTATGAATAATGACAGTTGAAATAATGAGTTTCATTAGGTACTATATTTCCTAATTGACTGTTTACAAATGGAAGAAAAACAAAATCTACATTATTTGACCACCTTATTTATTTACAGTAAATTTTACATTATAGCCAAAATAACAATGGTAGTCGCCTTTTGTTGGCCATAATTAAATGATTCTTATAATAGAATCGTTTGGTACAACTATAATTTATTCTCATTTATCAATATGCAAGTAATATCAACTTCCGCTTGTCTCTTTTGTGCTGTAATATTCTGAACTCCTTTTCTTCAGAATTAAGGTTTAATCGGCCATTTAACATATTGTATATTATTTCAAACATATTTGAAGCAAGGGATTGTTATTGAATATTCAATTATGTGTGTTTTATTTTTTTACTATTTTGTTTAAAAACAAAACAAACAAAAAATGCGTGTTAATCATTATTGCCTTCTCAAATAATCATTCCTTTGATTAAATTCAATGTTCGTTTTTAAATTATGAATTGATGGAATGAAAAATAATTTTATTCTGTGGCAAAATCCTCTAAGAATAATGAGTTCCAGAAATATGTACCAGACAAGGGTTTAATTGTAGATAATTTTTTTCTATTACTTTCTAAATATTGCTTGTTGAATTTGAATCCATGAATTACACTTAAAATAATTAAAAATCGTTTCCTTTTTGTGCAGTGTACAGACAAATAATATGTTATTGTTCCAAATTTATTTTGACTTCTATTATAATTGAATATTAATAATTATTATTACTTTTGTATTTTGTTACCTTTTGGCTCTATATATCTTACTATTTTTTTTTTAAAATTAATTTCAGATTTAATCGTAATTATGAAGAAGAACTTCAAACAGTGGATGAGTTAGAAGAAGGTATTATTTTTAATAATTTTCTTTTTATTTTAAATTGTCATGATAGGGGTTGCTCAGAAGAGTGTTCTGTCATTTTTAAGGTGTTATGAATTGTTGAGGGAACACAGATTTTAAAGGGTAATACATTTTTGGACAGAACCATATTTTAAAGGGTTTTCAGCTGGGTAGATGTTCCATTCCTGAGAACATGAGAAACAACTAAACTACAATTTTTATAATTTTACTCATTTATTTGTAATCTAAATGGTAAATAATAAATTACATTAATAGATTAAGAAGTTTGTTTAGAGTATGGCCAATAGTCAAAACATATTAATAGTAATAGGAAGTTATTGTTTTTATTGTGTGCCTTAATAACTTTAAGTTTCAAATTGTTTCAGTCATTCAGTATAAAATGATTAATTTTAGATGGGGATCATTCATGCTTAGAAATTATAGAAACAAACAAATAAATTTTCTTCTAATTTTTTTTTACAGCAGATTACCAAAATATGTTAACTAACTGAAGAATCTATCACTTCCATCAAAGGATTTAAATTTTTAACACAAGTTGTAATACTTAAATTAATAAAAAGTTGTATTTTCCCATTATTGCTTTATATTGATCATCTTAGATTATTGAAGAAAAAAAATATGTTCTTCATTAATGAAGTTCTACTCCCTCTCTTGTTCACTGCACCAGGCATTATTGTTCAAACATTTTTTTTAGTTCATAATTTATAAATTCTTATTTATTACTCTTGTTTTTAAAATGTTTCTGTATTGATTTCAGATTATTGGCTTATTGAAGAATATGATAGGATATTGGCCGAAGAAGAGGCAAATTTTAATTTTGAATGGGAAAATCAGATTATATGTCCCATTTGCGAAAAATCAGTTCTCGTCAATGATAATAGTGTGATTTCCTGTAATAAGTGTCTATCACAGTTTCCTCTGGTAGACTCCTTGCAGACTTTTAAAGACTCTCTTGATGCGGCATTGAGAGCTCATAATGAAAGCTGTCCCGATTCTGCTCAATTCGCGCTATTGAAAGACAAAGAACTTGGACTTTTCCTTATATGTGAATTTTGTATGTCATTTTCACAAGTTTTATAAAAATTTTGTGTATTTGTTACCTTTGTACCTGTATTAAATACTTAATAAAACCATTGTAAATTAATTAATAATTGATTTGAACATGTATATATTTATTTGTATGACTTAAACATTGACATTTCAAAAATGTTATGTTTAACATAAGATGTTAATAGTGATTAATTTAAAAAAATTGAAGCTTTATTATGGTTTCTAAATAATTTGTGAAATAATTAAACCTTATATAGTGACAATAAAAAGAACTGTTGGTTTCGTTAGTCCTGTTTTCATTTCTAACATATGATAAAATACTAACAAGTTTTAAGATGGTGTATCAAATATGATTTAGAACTTTAACATTAAATTAAAATTTCAATTTAACTGCAACCACCATTATTTTTTACTTTTGCTTATCTATATATGCACGTATATAAAGTATTGCGATTGTAAACATTTTTGCATATTAAAGGTTTATACATACCTGGGATGTAACAGCAACTTTTTTTTTGTCAAATTCAGCTAACTGAAAGTACCACTTTAAATCATAAATTTTTGATATTTTTACAATTTTCTTGAAAACAGCTAACAATTTTAATTAAATTCATTTTATCAGAGTAAAATTAAGCAGTTTTTAGTATAATGTTGGTCTTATTCTTATAGATGTTCTCTAAGAGTGATTAAATGCCTAATTTGCAAAATTAGTAACTAAAGGAGAAATAAGGGTTGGATGCTATACGAAAACAACCTGGAGCGCCTCACCTTTCCTTATAAAAATATTCGATACCCCTCAGTAAGGGACTTACCGTAATTTTTTAAAAAGATTTTCATGCTAAGTAGTGAGGATTTACAAATATAAACTAATAGTATACAATATTTACTAGTAAGTTATTTTTTCAACGAGTTTCTTGATAAAATTCAGAATTTTTCCAAAAGATCCATTAACGCCACAATCATTAGTATTGTTTGGTACTAGACACAGGCATAAAAGGAAATTAAAAGCGATCTAAATGTATAAATTTAACAGATCCAATCGACGGAGAAAACATGGTAATTAATTGTTTTAAGTGAAGTTATACCTTTGTTTCTACTTAGATTTCCCTATATATGAAAATACCTATCTACTATAAGGTTATTAAGTGAAAGTTGTGTGATGTGTGCACCATACCAGATTTTTTTTTAAATTTATTTTTTGTTTAAATGGATAGAGGAAAAGTTCATTATAAATCCATTTTATTGTTTTATTATCTTCTAGAACATGGTAAGAGTTTGCATGTGAATTGAGATGTTGGAAAAGCACATTTTGGTTGGTTTCAATTTTTCCTCCCAGAACTAAAATTTTTAAATATTCTTATAATGTCACAACAGGCGCATATAGCTGTCCTTAGACCGCTTAAACAGCCTTTCTCACTTATTCTCAGCTTTCGGAGGTCACTACCTCAGATTGTCCTGCCACTTAAGTTTTGGGTCTGCTTCTCCATTACACCCCATCTGGACCATGTATAATCTTTTGGTTGCTCTTGTGTCATCCTTTCTTCGGACATGGTCCAGCCATTGAAGACAACAAAATTTTACGAACATGGATGCTGTCGGTTCCTGTAGCTGATATATTTCCTTATTCTACATCTTCGTGACTTGTGCTGGTAAGAAGATCTGTCCAAGGACTTCTTTCGAATTTATCATTTTTTCAGAAGCAGCATTGTTAAACGCCCATGTCTCACATGCACACATTATTACAGGTCTAGTAAGCATCCTGTAAAGCCCGAATCTTAGTGGTCCCGCTCTCCAACTTACTTCTCAATATATTAATTAGAGCAAATTATTCTTTATTTCCTGTAACTGATCTAGCTCTAACCTCCTCATCTTCATTGAAAAAAGAGATCCTGAGAACTTTGAAATATTAATTTCGGAAATGTTCAATAACAAATTCAGCTGTATAATTGATTCTGGTGTTCACATCTTTTCTCTAGTATGGGTATCTGATTTTTTTTATGGCAAACATGCTAACCGTTACCTCCACACTTTCATGGCAGGTTGATAAGTTGTAGGATAACTACTCTTTATACTGGTTAGAGTATCTACGAACTAATAACCTTGATTTATGAACAACATTAACAATAATTTATATAATATATTTGTTTAATTGATTATTAGGTATAGTCAATTAAAAAAAAAAATTTACTATATGATTTTGGGCAATATTCATTTTAACGAGGATCTTAGAATCACTTGCAATGGAGAGACCCTTGAGCAAACCGATACCTACTGCTACCTGGGAACAGTGATTGGCAAGGATGGAAGAATAGACCAGGAGGTCATGATAAGAGTCCAAAAGGCCAATGGAATACACTACCAATTATCCATGACACTAATTGGAAAGCAGGAGTTGAGCAGAAAAGCGAAGATTCTGCTATTCAGATCAGTTTTTCTCCCAGTGCTGCTATATGGATCGGAGAGCTCGACACTCTTAGACCGCCATGCCAGCAAGATTGTCTCTGCAGAAATGAGATTCCTACGGAAAATATTGAGAAAAACCAGGCGAGATCGAATAAGGAATGAAAGGGTGCGAGATGAACTAGGAGTTAGATCCGTCCTAGAGACGATTGAAGAAAGGCAGTTGAAGTGGTACGGGCATGTTAATAGAATGGGAGATGACCGCAAGGCTAGGTGGCTTCTAGAAGCAAGACCGGGAGGAAGGCAGGCCAAGGCTTATGTATGCAGACTTGATAGAGAGAATTGCATGAAGCACCATGCCGGAGATGAGAAGGCTTGCACAGGACAGAGACCGTTGGACAAGATGGTCAGAGGCAGCTACTCCACGCTTAGCAGCACACAGGAGATAGTGAGAGAAGAAGAATTTTGGACAATATTCATTTTAACTTTTTTACTATCAGTGGCACATACTCAGAGCAAGTGATTTTTCATGAATAGGCAATTTCCAAAAAAAGAGTAAATAAGTTCACTTCTTAAAGAGTGAGTTGTCAAAATTAAAGAAAAAATACTTGAAATTTCTAAAAATCAATTCAATGTATGATCTTTGAATTCTGCAGTCAAAAAAATTTGAGGTGGATAATGGATTGAGATAGAGTGGTCCTCTATCTCATCTTCTTTTTAACCTATTCCTGGAAGTGGCTATTCGAACAAATCCAGAAGGAACCATCTACAATCGTCTCTCTCATCATCTGGCATATGCCTATGATGTTGCAATTACCTCTAGAACCCAAGCAGCATTATCAAGAATTTTCTAGGAATTCGATGAGGCAGCGGCTAAACTGGGCCTTAGAGTTAATGGAAATAAGATGGTCCACATGAAAAGTTTAAAAATGGAAAAGGAACTGAATATGGAAATAGCTTTAAAGGATCACAACTTAAGGTCTATTGTCGAGTTGAAGTACCTTGGAAGCCTGGTCACATGCAATAATAAAGAGTAAAATGAAGGCCAGGATAGCAGCAGGAAACAGATGCTATTTCTCACTACAAAAAGACTTGAAGTTCAGATCATCTCTAAAATAACCAAAATCCTCATCTACAAAACCTTAGTAAGCCCAGTGTTTATGTATGGGTGTGAGACTTGGACCTTGACCAAAAACTCAGCACGCATGCTCAACTCCTCAAGGAAAGGAAAGTATGGAGGGGAATTTCTGAGAATGAAATTTGAAGAAGAAAATATGAGGATCTGCGGGTACTTTATGGAGAACCTGATACTGTGGCATTGATAAAAAGAGCCAGGATAAGATGGTTAGGTCATGAGGAAAGAATGCCAAAGAGGATGCTAAATGAGAAGTTGGATGGCAAAAGAAGTAGAGGACGCCCTCGGAACAGATGGCTGGAGGACATTCTGAGGTGGCTGGGCGTTCGAAGCTGGAGGAGGGCATAGCGCCATTATAATTATAATCTTTAAATAATAAAGCTCCTTCAGTCTGAGTCAAGTCCAGGCAGCTACTAGATCTTCAGTGAGTATCTTACATAGTAACATAAAAATACATATTAAAGGAAGGAGTCAGAGAAAGAATAATATTTATAAACAGATTTTATTCAAATTTAAAAAAATATACTTCAACATTCTGTAAATTTTATTTATAAATTAAATTATAAACATTTCAACAAACAAGTTATAGATATTTATTCCAACAGAAAGCTTGAGCAGCTTTGAGAGATCACAATTTATTGGTACGTAAGAATTCCAATAGTTCAAGGCACTAACCCCAGGCTTACTTCTGGTTGTGCTCGTGTAAAAGTAAACATACATTTGAAAGCATGTACACATGAATTGACGATATCACTCATTCACAAAAAAAAAAAAAAAAAAAATGTAATTTTAAAGATTCACATAACATTGGCTTAGTAACAGAAATTAGTTCTTTAGTAAATAATCTATTGATGTTATGTCACTAACTAACAGAGTACTTACAACTTTCATATTTAACCATACAGCAAAACAATGTAATAATTAAGTAATAATAATTTACAAATTAATTAACTGTACATTTAAATAGACTATAGTTGAAACCCTGATTCAATATTTTTTATTTGGTACAATCATCTATGAAATAACTACACAAGAACCAGACACAATTGTGATGTTAAATTATATTCCAATAACTCAGAAGATATAAATGATTTAGAAAATCCAATACATTCAGTACCGAGGAGTCATAACTATACATGGGCTTAATCTTAAAAATCATCTAAAATATATTCGAGGCCGATATAAAATTTTAACCTCTATGGTTTACAATTTTATTCAGTAATAATTAATATATATCAAAGAATTAATTCACTTCAGAGAGTTGGCAGCAATAAAAAAAAATTAACCCATGCAGGGTTTCCACTTTGGTGAAAAAGTTCCCTTTTTAGGGAAATTATAAAGTTGGGAGGGAATAAAAGGGGAAACAATTTTTATCAATCAAAGCCTTATCTGAGCACAGTTTAATCTATCTATTGTTTTAACAATATAAGTCAAACATACATAAAACGATTAGTTATATAATTTGGGCGGAAACGATTTTTAAGTTCCTTCTGAGGATTAAAAAAAAGAAAACCTGACTGAAGATGAGGGAAACATTGACACTAGTTAATTCAATTTTGATGCACTAGTTAATTCTCCAAATAGCTATAAAATGTCAGTGGTTCTGATCTCAAAAGATTGACTTGGCTCGTATTTCAAGGTAAGTAAAATTTAATATTTTGGCACACATTTTGATATTGTGTAAAATAATTTCAGAAACTTATTTATATTTTAATACAGTGCAATTTCAGTAATCTGAACTAACCTTTGTAGATTCAGAGGGATTACATACACTTTAAAAAAAAAAAATTGCATTCTTAATATATATATATACGCCATGGAAATGCGCAAAGCATTAAAAAGTGGAAAAATGATTAGTGTCAAAGTGCATTTCTCAAACTTCAACTCAATTTAAATATGGGGTGGGATGGCCGAGTGAGCTAATGCGTGTTTTGTACACACATTGTCCGGCAACATGATAAACAGCAGTTTACAAGATATTATATCTATTATTTCCCGTCCCTGTGCAGTAGAGAACTGAACTCTGACATTAATCCCCTGCCCTCCACGTGGAGGAAAACAAAAAAAAATCTCAATTTAAATACAAAACTATTTGGTATAAAGTGACTCTTAAAAAAAATAAAATAATTTATATAGACGTTTCCATATGTATGTGCAGACCATTACTCGAATATACTTTTCATAAAATAAAATAAAAAGTGTAACATGAGGACAGGTTGCTATAAGAGCTTATGTGACACTATTGGCAGCTATATATATATATATATTATATTATATATATTATATATATATATATATATATATATATATATATATATTATTCAACTTCATAAAAAAATATCGACTTCAAAAACATTCATTTATTTTAACTCGATTATTTTTGTTTGTTTTGGCAAAAGTTCATCACTGCTTATTCTGTTGAAGTTGGTAGATGACAGATTTATCAAGGTATATTGATATCTATTTTCCATCTGAAAGATTAATTGAAATGATAATCTACATCTTTCAGATTCTCACAAAATAAACGAAAGAGTATCACGAAAATTCGACAAGACAAGAATGCGTCTTAAGTTAGAAAAATGTTTCTGACACTCAGGTTTTTTTTTTTTTAACTTACAAAACTTCCCTTCCATCCTTGCTGTTCCTCTCAGTCAGTTCATTTATTTATTTATGAGGTCAATTTCACATTACTCAGATTGCACGATAATTTAAAAATTTTAACTTAAGTCTAAAACAAAATCAAGTTAAAATTTTTAATCAGCCGAATAATTAAATTACTTTCTTTTTTTAAACAATCAATCGAGTTCATATAAATGAACACAAACCTTCTTGTAATCACACATTATACAATTTAGATAAGATAAACATAAATTATTAATTAGAAAAATTTTTTATCACCCTGTGGACTGGTCTACAATATTTGATGAAAAAAACAAAACAATGCTTCGTAATTTAATTTGGCACATAAACAACCATTTAATTTACAAATCCACCAACCATATTTAATAATAATAGTAATAGCAAGAGAATGACAATAAAAGCTGAAACTAGATACGTGTTTAATTAAAGTGTTAATGAACAAATTCAATATTTTTTTTTTTTTACAAAAATTCCAATTCTCTGCAGAAAAAAAAAACTGGTACTGAATGTTTTATGTTATTTATATTTTATATTATTAAAATATAATATATAAATACTTAGTTAAATCTGTGATGAATTTAATTTCTATCATATATTATAAATTTTTTTTTAGACAGTAACAAGAATAAAAATACTGCATCTGGCGGCCGGTATATTTAGTACACACAAATATTTCTATATTATATATTCAAATATTGTATGTACATTATAAAGCTCTTGAATTTTTGAAAAATATGAAATATCAGGGATCGAAAAAATAAGTTGCTACTGAATAAAAATATAAAATGTAATGTAAAAAAAGTGTTTTGCCTTTGGACTGATGATAAATTGAGAAAATAAATGTATATATACAGAAATGTAGAATATATGATTTTATCTCTTAGATTGAATATTTAAAAAAAATGTTACTGTGTTATACAACATTTACAACGTAGCAGAACGCGCAGAAGAGATGGAGGTTTTTATGGTAACTAAAATAAAATAGAATAGAATATGTTCACAGCCTAATAATAGGGCTCTTATTTAACTAACAGTTTTACATAACTGTAGGAAAAAAAAAAAAAGGTACTCTTGATTTTAATAAATTCAGATACATGAGCCTTGTCAGCCTACTGGAGGAGACTTGAGCGGACTGGGTGCAGGAATGATAACTCCACCCTGTGTACCTAAATCGGAAATCACAATGTCACATTTACTTTTCTTTAAATAGCCACACGGAAGTTAGATCCACAGAGTCTTACTTCAAAAAAAGAAATCTGCTGACCTCGAACAGCCTTCAAAGATATCAGCTATTGAGCTATGGGTATCCTGCTGCTGCACCATGAAAAACCATGGTTTGTGTAGCAATGTGAAGATGGATGACTACCTACAGGCCATCTATGCTAACAAGCGATGAAAGTTCTGTAAGAAGACCACAATTTGTGGTCAAACATCTTCATTGTCTGTAGTGCCAAAGGGAAAATAAGAACTTAATAAAATGGCATTTTGGCTACTGAGCAAATAATATTTTGAATGTACCATTATAACGTAAGTTATGTAAAAAAAAATGTTTCAAAATATATTTCAACTAGAGAGAACAAGCCTTGTAAAGAATGATTAAAAATACTTTTATAAAAAATTAAGTTAAAACTTTCATAAATTAAGTACTAGTCGATAAAAGGGGCTGAAAATTAGCTTGTTTAATTGTTTTACCACCAAATATCACCGAAGATTCTCAGTTACATTACTAACAGCTGTATCAGATATCTGTTAGTTATCGCCAATTATTTTAGGGCATGTAATGATACTTTATATGAGTAGCCTCATATGAGAAAATGCCAATTTTTGTAGGGTAGCTTCAATGTAAACCAAGTCTAATGATTTTTTTTCATGATTCAACTTGAATATTCTTAAATAAAATCATCAGAATCAGTTTCAGTTGAATCTATAAAACAAAAATTTACTTTTTCTCCAGTTTCTGAAAATGACAGATGCTTGCGTCTTTGATATGAATCCTATATGATACAAATATCTATTTATCTGATACACTTGCTTAATCAAGAAATTGTTAAATAAAATACAAGAGACATACAAAATTATAATCAGTTTAGGATTTAATTTTTGTTCAACCAATACGTTACACTCATATCAGGTTATTATTTGTAGCAGAAATGAATTAAATAAAATATTTAAATTTGTTGAAGCCATTGCAAAAGATCATTACTGGAATTGATACTTCAGATAGTTCTAAAGAAAAATCTTACATTTTCGATCCCTGTGAAATTCAATTCATTATATGGTCCACTCTCAACTTAAACTGACATAAAAATAGAAGATAAGATTGTATAATAACAATTACATGATATTTATATGGCACTTATGCTTACATTAACTGGGTAATTGTGAAAATTATTTACAATACTTACACGAAACTTATTAACAGTTTCTTTAAAATATTCAAAATATACAATTTAAATTATTTTATTATTATTACTTTTTTTTTTTTTTTGGTGGGCACACCTTAAAAACTAATTTTAAAAAATCACAATAACAAGAAAACAATGACTCTAACCTGAAAACATATCAATGTGGTATGATGATAACATATTATCGACGTAATAAACCAAGAAAATGTAAAAGCAAATAAACTACATCATTTGACAAAATAAAAACACTAATCTTTAGTAGATCTGTTCCTTTGTACTCGATTGTAGTAAAAAAAGAAAAAATTACAAATATATATTTTTATAACTGTTATCTAGTAAATTAATGTCCATTATTAAAAAAAATATTTTATTTACATAAAAAAATAAATTGTGCTTCCTCTCACAAAAGAGAATGGGCATAACAAATCAATTATCTCAATTTGTTGGTTTTCCAGAAAAGCATAGAAGATACTATATGATCAAGCGTTAACAAATAATCTTCAAGTTTCTTAAATAAAACCTATACCATTATGGTTCGTTGTTAAAATTGCTAATCACTACACCATATAGATGTTTGAGGAAAATTATATAAAATTTCTTTATATATAAAATCTTCATTTTCAAAATAAAATTAACATGATATATATGGATAACAAAAAAAAAACTATATACTAAACAAAGAAACAGATGCTAATAACAAAAAGATATTCACATAAGACAACAAAAACAAAAACTATCCTTACTACACGGCTAACTTAACTGTTCTTCTTAGAATATTTTTCTACGGCCGCTCTCGCTTCATTGGGTAGCCTAGCTGGATCCGTGAGAACCTCGGTGGAAGTACACAAATGGCGAAGTGCATTTAATACAACTAAAATAATACAATTAAATTAACAAAGAGCTATATTGCAGCTGGTTAAATCAGATCGATATTTTTGTTAAATAAAATCTATAAATAAATAAACTGTAATCAAATATCAATTTTTCCAACTATGCATACAGGGATATTGTTTATATGAAGAAAGATCAATAAATCATAAATGAAAATAATGATATTTTAAGATTAGAATACAGAATAAAAAATTATTGATCAAAATGTGCTATTTGGCTTTTAAAATTTTGTTTCAAAGTGAAACTCGTCTTAAAATACTCTCTACTTTAATTTTATTAATTAATACTAATTAATTAATTTAAACTACTAGGTTTTTACATAATTTTTAATTCATTACTCCCATTAAAGTTTTTATTTTAATCTTTATTTGACTCTGGTGTCCAAAATTCATATATTACTGCTTACTTTGATTAATCTTTTATTTAACCGTGTATGTACCAACTGGCACTTGCTTATAGAAACTGGTCAATTGACAATTCATGATATGAAGGCAAGGTGGTTAAGACGGACAGTACAATCCATCTTGAAGCCTCTACACAACAATGAATGCATCAATAGAAGGCATAAGACTAGGTGGAAGGCCAAAAACCAGATGGATAAATTGTATCAACGAAGATTTAATAGAGTTGTATGCAGATAACTGGAAAGAAATAGCCTAAAATAGCCAGAGATAAAAGAAGGTGGTTAAGGTGGCAAATATCTACAAGGTCTACAGCAATGCCAACACACACAAAAAAAAAAAACTGACACTGTCTTTGGGTAGGGATCTGTTTGCGAATCACTTGAGGATTACGTCAAAAACGTTAGTTTCAAACACAGTACAATAATCAAATACGCAATGGTTAGCTGCAATTTAGAAAACTTAATGTCTCAAATGAGGGATCTAAATCAGATCATCACTACTTCTCAGAAGTCTAACAAGAAATTGATATCTGTGAAATTTTGCTTTAATACCGAAATATGACAGAGTTTGGAAAATAATTGTAATGAGTGATGAAAAATAGATATTTTCAAAATATCAAATGAACCAAAAAAATTGATTTGGAGAAAAATATTATGCTTTGTATTCAGTGGAATCATGAAAGTGTTTTGTACTATAAGCTGATTTCATATGGTAGGACTATTGATGCTGAGTTTTAATCAAGAATCTTCAACCAATATTTGAGCCTTTCAGTTGACAGAATGACTGAATTTCAACATTTTTTATTATTAATTTTAGTGATCTTTTTAGTGTTTTTAACATTTATGACAGGATTGGTATATTTCAACACTGAAATAACCTACTCTGGAATCAACTTACTCATTGTTTGCACAGATATAAATTTTCCAAGTAGAAATATAACAAAAATGACTTAACTCGAAAATTTTTAAATTGAAATTCTTCATTCTGCCAACTGAAAGGCTCATTTGGAAACCAGCAGATTTGTAACCACTAAGATGAGTCCAATATTGTTTCCTCAAGTAAACAAAACCAGATCAAGAGGGAACAGTCATGTGGAAAAGATGTAATGTGAAAGAAAGCTTTAATTATGCTATACAAGCACTTTTTGAACAACCTTGTAAGGGATGGACAACAGATTAAGATTTTGCTAAATTAACTCCATGGCCAAACAAGCAAAGCATCCACAGCTCGATGGGGGAGTTTGTATATTGAAGAGGCCAAGAAATGTATATATGGACGGAAGTCAAATTGTAAAAAATAAAACAAAAAGAGTTGTTACCTGGCCTTAAATCCACTAGCGTACAATGCTGGTCCACCCACTGAAGTGTGCTCTGGTATAGATCTTCGATGCTGTTAGTAGACACGTTATTGTTGAACGACTCCAACAGTGGCTCACCAATTAAACTTAGCTGATTCGCGAGTTAAAGAAAATTTAATAATATTTGATAATTAAATATATTTATTCAATAAATTTATATATTATTCAACATTTAAATGGTAATGTATTTATATATTACTCAGGCACGTTATACAGTCAGGTTCAGCTTTCTCTTTTCTCAACAGAAACGCAAAGCATATTTTAAGGAATAATTCGAGACATTTTTATTTTTTCCTTATTGTTTTCTTAAGAGTATACATTCATACTGGTTTATCACTTCAAATAGTTTTAAGTGTTTTCTTTTCTTCTATTGACTTTATTTAGGGCAGATGTAATCTTTTAATTTTGTTCTATTTTGTTATTTTCAAAGGCCTTTGTTCCAGAATATAGTTATTTTTATTTCTTATTTCTAAATAGATAGATAGTTAGAAAATAAACTTTATTCTGAGACAAGCTCCCTTAAGAATAAAAATTATGAACAAAAAACTAAAACGTCTGGCCAAAAACTACATTAATAAAAATTAAACAATATATACAATATCTTCAGAGACAATATATAAACAACAGAAAGTAAAGATATTTTGAAAAAAAAACAACAACATAATGAAACGAAAAACAGAAATCAAGAAAAATAAAAAAACAAATGTTATAAACACTTTTAACAACCATTTACTTCTATAAAAATTCGATTCATAAAATTTATATCATGATTGTACAGCGTCATGTGAGAAGGAATTGCCAAAGAAGGAATTTGAATAAAGACAAGGAAGAGGCATGGTGGATATCAGAAGGCAAGAAATTCTAGAAGGTAGTGGATCGAGCAATAAATGAATGTTCAAATGTTTTAGTTCTTTGGGAAGGGGTATTAAGGTAAAAAACATGGGATGTTGTTTTCTGAGAGTGGACTATGGATTTGAACTGTAGGAGACTGTAGATGTAGAAAGAGTGCTGGGAGTTGATAGTTTGGAATAGGTAAGATCCATGGAAATATTGTCTGCGACAAGAAGAGAAGAGCCATTTTAACTCATCGTAAAGGTGGGACACATGAGACTGCCTCGAAGTACCGAAGACAAATCTTAAGAGGGAGTTCATAAGTCACTTCAATCTATGCTAGAGTACCATACAAATAACAAAATATAAATATGTAGTACAATGAATATAATAAAAATACATATATAGTCTAGCCCCTGCACATCAAACCAGTGCTATAAATCTCTTATGTAATGAGTTTGCTGTTGCTTATTGAAAATTGATAATTTGTAACCTTTTTTTTTTTAGCAATAATATTAAATCTAATATTATAATGGTTTTCTATATTAAAAGTTATAAAAATAGACAATGAGATTTGAGGGAATTTTCTGGTAGAACCTAGAACCTGGTAATATAGGCCTCATCAGATTGGCAGCCTAAAGAACTAGTTTTAAGATAGTCAATATTAGTTTAGTTTGTACTAAATTTGTATTCAGAAAATCCAATAAAATTTCTATAGAATGAACTGAACAATTTTCAGAACGAAAAATTTCAAATCAGGGAACTAGGATAAAACATGGACCGTACCACAGCAAGTATAATCGTATATAATTCAAGACTTTTCTAATTCTACTTTTCCTTGCACTTTTTAAGAAGAGTAGAGCAATAACATTTCTTGGGAGTTGGAGTGGAGAGGGGGAAAGTTCATGCACCATTGACTTTGGGAGAGAAGGGCACCCCTGCTAAAAAGATTCATTTAAACAAATGTAGAGTGTAATTATCATTAAAAAGAGCCATTAGCTTAGGTTCATAAGAAAAAAAAGTTTAACATAGCTCCTCAACAAAAATCATTAAGTGTGAAAAAAAGTTTAACTTCATAAGACTTAAAAAGATGGAATATATAATACAGATGAGAGAAAAAATATCAAGTAGAATATAGACAATACAAAAAAAAAATGTATCAGTTATAAATAAATTTGGATGTTTTAGATGAATCAGAAACAATTTAAATTCTTAAAATAAAATAAAATGGATGAAACAACATTGAAATATAATACCCTTAAAAATGTCTTAGATATTTCTTCAACCGTCAAAAACTTATTGACGTAGTTACCAATAAAAAATAAATGAATAAAAATAACTTTTATTGAAGTACTCATAATTTTTTATAATAAAAATAACAATAAGTTACAACAGAATAAAAATATCAGTGATTTTATTATGTGAGTGGAATTATTGCTTTCTTCCTGTTGAATAATAAGCACTTATTTCTTTCAAAACCATAAACACTAAAGATTTTCTGGTTTTGCTTGTTACTTTAGAAATTTCTGTTCAGTTGTACATCAAATTTTAATTTTTCGAAATTTGACAACTAATAATAATGTTTATTTTTTATACAGGGTGTTTCAGGGTTAAGTTGCTAAACTGCAAAAATGAACTAAAGACCTCAAAAAAAGGAAAAAAAAATTCTCTAAAGCAATGTCCGCAAATGCTTTGTTTAGGAGATATTCTCAGCTAAAGATTTTCGTTGTTATAAATTATTTATGTTATATGAAATAAATAAAACCTATCTATTTGTTCTAACTACTTTATCAATTAATGTAAACATTAATATTCATATTAAATGTTGTTCAAAGTGAAGGTATGTCCGCAAACACTTTGTTTGGGAGATGGATTAGATACAATACTAATATGGCCTTTTATCCCTAACTGTATAAAAACTATTAGCATAAGGATTAATACTATTTGGAATTAGCATTGGGAACTCTCAATAACATTTATCAGTTTGTAAGACGCTTTCTCAGAGTACTCATCATTATGCCTTCCATTTATACTACTTTATACTAATGGTGAATATGCCAATATGGTGTTTGTACACAGTTTTTGCAATGGTAATACTAATGCTGTCCGTTATGAATATGCCAGGCGATTTCCGAATAGAAGATTGCCTAACAAGTCTATGTTTAGCTCCACATTCCAATGGCTTAGAGAAACTGGTACATTTGCTATAACTAGTGCTGATGGTATTTTTGCCCCTTCACTTAGTCAACAACAGTCCAAATCACTTTGAACAACATTTAATATGAATTTAATGTTTAAATTTAATTAATAACATTGTTGGAACAAATAAATAAGTTTTATTTACTTATTATAATGTAAATAATTCATAACAATGAAAATCATTAGTTGTGAATATCTCCTAAAAATAGCTTTTCCTTCAGAGGAAATTTTTTTCTTGTTTTAGGGTCCTTAATTCATATTTTCAGTTTGGCCACTTAACAATGAAACACCCAGTATATATAATTATTCTAAAATTTCTGATTTTAAAGGTGAAGAAAATTTAAATAGAACTTAAAAGTTATTGAATCATTTTTTTCAGAAACAGCATATATAATTTTTAACGGTTACGAGTAATGTTATAAGAGTTCGGTCAGAAGGCTATAAAGCTTGGGATCAAAAGGCTCGAGTCCTAATAGATTGGCGGTAAAAGGCTTACTTGTTTTTTACCCCTATTTATTCACATTATAATTCAGAAATATGAATGAATGAATGAAAATGTGTTTATTAAACTTTTTAAAAAATTACACAAAGTAAAATGTATATATATATACAAGCTAAACACATAGACAATGGAAAATTCTGTCTGTCGAGGTCTGTGTGTAATTATTAATTAAGAAATATATTAACATAGTTACTATCAACAGAAAAATATAAACAATTTTTTACGAAAATGTTAAATAATTTTATTTTTTCAAAAAGATAAATTTATCAAGGGTCAACCCTTATGAGCCTTCAAAACTCAAGCCTTGTTTTTACAACACTACTTTAAAGTTAAACTTTTTTTGTTCAAAGAAACATTGTTTAATGCAACAACTTAAATAGCATAAATATTGATTGTTTACACTATATATATGCAATTTTAGTATAAAATAGTTATGGGGTTTTCAAAATTATAAATATTGAAATAACAGATTCAATTATCTTGATTTATTTTGAATTTCTCCCAAAACATTGTATATCTCGCTATGCTTATTTTGAGAAGTGAAAATTCAAGAGAGCGATTAAATAATAATTTATACAAGAATTGACACCTATTTTCTTTCTTAAACTTAAATAGTCGTAAGTTTTGAAATATTTTTCATCTTTATGACCACTTTATTTGAAATAATTAAAAAAAAAAATTATCGATCTTAAAGATCTTTAATCTATAAAGATGATGGGAAGTATTTATTTTATTTAATAACTATTTTATAAATAATTTTAACTGATAAATTCCTAAAGTAAGAACATATCTCTCAAAATGTTTAAAAGAAAATCTTTTGTAGTAAGATTGACATTAGTGGTACAAATGAGCTAAAATATGGAACTTCATTTTAAGAAGATAATAAAAGGAGGCATTGTATGAACTGTTCCCTAGAAGGACAATATTCCAGGGAGAATGTTGGGAATAATAAATCCTTCAGGTTTGCAACATAAAGAGGTTCTTGCTAAAGTTAATCTCAACCATGGAAAATTGCAGGCACAGGTACAAGTAAGGGACTCGTTAGGGTACACTTAGTCAGGGGTCTAGACCCAAGAAGCAGGTAGCAAAGACCATTTCTAGGAAACCTTATTACAAGTATTTTCAGACAAAAGGAAGTGAATGTAAAAGATACGTTAAAAATAGATGGAACAAAATATTATTTAAAACAATTAATTATCATTTGTTTTTCATTGCAGACTATTCAATTCTATTTATTTTTATTTTAACTATTACCTTTTATGACTGTATATTTAAATATTTATTTGATTACAATAAATAATTAAGTGCCACGAAATATTTTTAGCCCGACAGGAGTGCGACTGATAATAATAATAAAAAAAAAAAAAAAAAAGGTGATGAATATTCAGAAGGCAGTCATAAAGTTCATAAGTATATCAAAATTAAAAATAAATAAACCAAATAATTTGTATAAATAAAAAAATTCAATAAATAAGAAGTATGCAAAAATAAAGTATAAAAATAGAGATTAACAAATAGAAATAGTTTCTTTAAAAATTTCTAATGGTTTGAAGGCCGGACATTAATTTTTAGCTCTGATAATAACCCACATATTTGGTTTGAAACATTGGAAAATTCAATAAACATAATTTTTTAGCAGTACATCTGTGCCATTTTTCATCGTTAAAATTTTAACATTCAACTATATATCCATCTGTAAATCATTATATGCAGCTTCTTTCTTTTTATTCCAGAGTAATTACTAATACATTTTTTTAAAAATCCTATTTTCTCGAAAACGACTCTATTTTGATTGAATTCATTATATCAATGTTAAGTTAAGCAATTTTTAATATATTGTTTGTCTTATTATCATTGATGTTATTTAACAGGGCTTAAATGAATTTTCAAAATTTCTTCCTTTAAAGTATCTTTGATTTTTTTTTTTTAAGAGGGCTCCGATAATATTATAAACATATATGGTTTTAATAAATGCTAGTATTGGTATTATTTAAATTTAATTATATAGATTACAGCAATATATAAATTAAAATTTGTATATATACCAATAATTAAACAAATCAAAACCGCATATGTTTATAATATTATCGGAGCCCTCTTAAAAAAAAAAAAATCAAAGATACTTTAAAGGAAGAAATTTTGAAAATTCATTTAAGCCCTGTTAAATAACATCAATGATAATAAGACAAACAATATATTAAAAATTGCTTAACTTAACATTGATATAATGAATTCAATCAAAATAGAGTCGTTTTCGAGAAAATAGGATTTTTTAAAAAATTTATTAGTAATTACTCTGGAATAAAAAGAAAGAGCTGCATATAATGATTTACAGATGGATATATAGTTGACTGTTAAAATTTTAACGATGAAAAATGGCCCAGATGTACTGCTAAAAAATTATGTTTATTGAATTTTCCAATGTTTCAAACCAAATATGTGGGTTATTATCAGGGCTAAAAATTAATGTCCGGCCTTCAAACCATTAGAAATTTTTAAAGAAACTATTTCTATTTGTTAATATCTATTTTTATACTTTATTTTTGCATACTTCTTATTAATTGAATTTTTTTATTTGTAAAAATTATTTGGTTTATTTATTATTAATTTTGATATACTTATCTTACTTTATTTATAAAATGAGAAAAACTTTTTGCTAAGAAAATTCTCATAGCATATTAAAATATTTGTATTACTCTATTTTAATACTTTGTTTTTGCATACTTCTTATTTATTGAATTATTTTATTTACACTAATTATTTGGTTTATTTATTTTTACTTTTGATATACTTATCTTCCTTTACTTATAAAATGAGAAAACAAATTTTTTGTTAAGAAAATTCTCATATATGTTTATGATTTGTATTGCCTATGTATGACTTGTATTACTCTATTTTTATACTTTGTTTTTGCATACTTCTTATTTATTGAATTATTTTATTTATGCTAATTATTTTTAGTTTTGATACACTTATCTTACTTTATTTATAAAAAGAGAAAAAAAAATTTTTTTTGTTAAGAAAATTCTCATAGCATATTAAAATATTTGTATTACTCTTATTTTTATATTGCGGTTATCTCATTTTTATATACTTCTCTTGTTTATATACTTTTATTATTTATCATTTTTCTGATGAAATTTTGTATTTTTTAATCATTAGCCCTGATGAGGACCCACATGTTTGGGTCGAAACATAAGCAAACTTTTTGGCATTAAAAAACATAATTTTTTGATTGCATATCCTGACAATTTTTCATCCTTTATATAAAATAATGTCTGTTGACGGAAAATCCAAGAAAACGGACTATGATAACCAGAGAAGTTTTCTGCCCAGTAAACCAAAATAAAATAAAATCATGTTTAAATGGCCCTAAAGGCCTGCTAAAAAAAAAAAAGTCAACGTTAGCCATCCTTACACTAACCAATTAAAATACATGAAAATTTTAATGTTGTTTTATAGTAATCAAAGTTTCATTTAATTAGTAAAATCCACTAGTAGGCCCGCGTGAATAATTCACCGAAAATTTTGTTTAGTGAAGAAAATAACAAAACAATATGGAAACAAGTAGATCCTATGTATTATGTAAGGAAGGAATTAATATTTTTTCTTGGTAGATTACAATATTCCATTTAACGTAATAGACCAAAATATTTGTACAAATTGCTTTGCTAGGACCTATTTTTAAACGCTGACTGGAAAGATAATAAAAATAATTAAGACAAAATAATGCCCAATAATGCCCCGAACATGAGATTTTCATTATTATTACAAAATAAAATAAAATGTAAGAACAAACAAATGCCTTTAAGAAATAATAAAGTTAATATATCAGCAAGAAAAAAAAGTGTAGTAGACTATTCTACATCTAAATGCAATATCTTTAAAGAGGAAGACATTATTAAGTATACCAAAACTAATGGACTGTATATTTGTTAATAATTGTCCGACTTTGGTTTTTGTTTTGTAGGTAATATAGTAATCTTTCTAATTATCATGGGCACGATCAAGAAAAAAAAAATGAATACTTTTTGAGTTATTTGCAAATAAAGTTTCTTTTTCTTCATAGTTTTTTTTTCCGGAAATTTCACGAGGATAGGACTATTTTTTACATGTGAAGGAGAAGAATATCTTCAAAATGAGTGGTCAATCATTGGATTTGATGAAAAATTGAAAAAGTTATTAAGACAAAAAAACACTTTTTAGAAATAATATATCTGATAATTGCATAATTAATAAAAAGTTTAGCAAATAAAAAAAAAAAAATACTACTTTAAAAGTGTTTTGCTCCACTTTGATGGTAGGCCAAGATCTCATGATCATTCTACAAATGGAATTCCGAGAACGGGCGAGTAATAATATAATAATAATGTTTAATTTACATTAATGATAAATTGCATCTCTAAAATCTAACGACAAAACATTGAGGCTTTAGTTACTTAACCATTAGCCAGAGTCAATTGTTGACATTGACATTGATTGATAATTACAGATATTTATTTATATGCTGTGAAATAAAATCCATATTCGTAAAATATAATTCTCCATAATATAATAAACAAAATATTTTATACATAAAAATATATACACACACTCCCAACTACAAATTGTCTTACCTATCCATACACATATCTCTTACTTCATCAGCTACAATTAAACTGCCTAACCAATCTATCTCTATAATTCCAGGCCAATTGACAATATTTTATTAAAGCAGGAATTGTTTTATTATTTACTTCCTTATGAAAATATTTTTTCCTCCATAAAATGAAAATTATTTTCTACCTGATTTAGATAGAGTTGGTTGCCAGCAGCATCAGAGTGAGGATGTACCTGCTACTATTGAAGTTTATCAGTTATCAGTTTATTAGTGACATTATGAGAGAATAATAGCTCCCGACGGATGCTATTTCTACCTACTTAAGTATATAAGAAGCTCATTACTTAGTAGATGTACAAAGCTGCAGGCCTATAAAACACTCATTGAAAGGAAAATCCTTAGAAGAATATTTGGCTCTATAAAGGAGAGACTGGATTGGAGAATTCAGAAGAACAGAGAGATCTACGAATTGTTTAATGTACCTAATTTGGCCAGAATAATAAAATTAGGAAGGCTTAGTTGGGCGGGACACATAGCTCGGATGGAGAAGTCTGAAATCCTGATAAGAGTGCTTGAGGAGCCATTACACTAGGAGGAGAGCTGGCAGACTGGAATTAGATGGGAAGATGGTGTAGCGGGTGAAGCAAGAGACCTTTTGGGAGTCAGAAATTGGGCGCACAGAACAGAGAAATTTGGCGGAAGCTCATTGAGGAGGCAAGAACCCACTGATGGTTGTAGAGCTATTACCATAGATCGATAGATTATGAAGTGTTCAAATTTACTATTTAATGTTAACTAGTTAAACTGGTTACTTATGGAATTATTAAAATAATTTCAATATGAATGGAAAGCAGTGGAATATACGCCATCGGAAATTATAGAGGAGATTAAAAAGAACAATAAAGATAAAATGAAAAAAAAATACAAGATAAATGTGTGGAATTGGAAAACAAAGTCAGAGCACAGTTGCAAGAAATACTTTGAAAAGAACGAACGAAAGAGTATTGACAACATGTGTACGGTATACTCTCCCTTTATTCAGATTGTGAATTATAACTTCTGCAAACCCCAATGGGTCCTTTTGAAATAAAATCAGACCAGTGAGTTCAGTCATCTCCCTCTAGGTTCGGACATAATCAGCCAATCTTGGAATTCAATTTACAGCGTGATCATAACATGTTATACCTATCAAATTTGAATGTCATTAAAAAAAAATGTCCTAAAAATATATAGATTTTTTTAAAGGATACAATCCAGAATTTCCAGTTTTCAATAGTTCTAGATTTAACGTACTGCTTGTACATATCCCTCATTTTATTGCTTCTGTGACGAGATACAGGAGCTCCCGTTACTGGTAACATTGACTGACAATTGCTGGAATAAAAAATATTTCACTTGTTAGGCAACATCTTAAGGTATATTTTTCTTAGCGTGGCTATCAAAATTATTCTTGAATTGAGGTTGATTTCACAGGAGTGAAATATAAATTCAATAAAAAGAGATGTCTTCCTGTATATAATTTTAAAAAAAATAAAATTAATAATTTCAAGGAAATAACTTTATTTAACCCTTATATCTCCTATCCATGCTTCAATTCATTTTTATTTTTTTCGACGACGTTTCAGGGAATTTGCACATTTTCAAGTCGAAATATTTATATCATTATCTTATCATCTATGTAATATTATTTTTTATATAATTGTTATAAAATCTTTCATCCTTCTCCTCACATTCTTCTAATCTTAATTTCATAACTTATTTATGAAAAATGAATTCTTTGGACAGTCAAAAAATTAAACATTTTTTAAAATTTATATCAAATGCTATACATTTTCGTTCCTTTTATAGCCTTATGTCCACTGTTAGCTGTGGGCTTACCTATTAAATTTTTTTTTTTATATTCTCTTTGCTACAGGTTAAGGTCTTTAATCAGAACTTCATCAGGCTAGATAATTAATATAAAAAAACTTAACAATTAATAACCCAATTTAATGAAGAGAAAGATACAGTAAAACCATACAGCTTAAGTTGCTACAACATAGTTGAGAGTACTGATCAGTCCCAATAGACAATGTTTAATGAGAGAGAACAAAGTTCTGCGGGACTACCATCCAAAGTACCGAATGCTATAATTCATTTTCTTATTGTTATACTTTTTCCCTCTCCTCATTTCCTTCTCACGACTGTCCGTAGAGCTGATAACGAACTGGCCAGAATTAATACATGTGATGGTACAGGATTCTCAACAAGTCTAAAACAATTGATCCCGCTATAAACTGCAGATGGCTCTTTTCACACCCAGCTTCTCCAAAAACTCAGCAATTAAAAGTGGAAGCGCTCCTCTACTCCTGACCCAGTCCCCCTACCGAGTATTCTCTTTTACCAAATTCTTCTCTATATTTATCCTGCAGGCACGGATTGCACTTTTTATAGATGTTATCTTTTTCTGTTAGTATTTTTAAGATCTTGATCCTCATCGTTTGTTTCAAATCGAATTGTAGGATCGACTATCAGAGCCTCTTTTGCACTAAAGGCTAAGATATCAACAAATTTCGCCGAGCCTTCCATATCTATACAATATATTTCAAGTAAGCCTCTATAGTTTTTGGTCTCTATGAATTCGGCAATTCGATGTTTTATATTATTATGCCGACAGGTGACAAGGAGCATATTATTTTTACTAATATGACATTTATTCAGTACATGAGCTGGGGTTTCTGACTCTCGGCCACATTTGCGGCAGCGGGATCCATAAAACAAAAAACTGATTATCACACAATTTATGATTTGTCCTTATCAGATGATGAATAAAAATAAAACTATTGTCCAAATGGGCAACCTCTAACCCCTAAGTCTTATTCTAGTTGGCTGTTATTAATTTAATGAGGGCAGAATCCTTAAATTGAGTGTTAGGTACATTCAGGCATAGTACATAATATTTTTCCTAATCTGTAATTTGTCAAGAAAATCCATAAATATCTGTGTTTTTTATTGGTAGTTAATTTTAAGTTAATTATCTAGCTTGATTAACGTTTGAATCAAGACCGAAACCAGGAGTAAAGTGTAAATAAACGAAAAAATTATATACAGGAGGACACCATCTCTAATTATTGAATTTTATCAAAATCATTGTTCAATGATCGTACAAACAATTTTTTTTTGTTTACATCATATCTGTGTTTAAAAATTAAATTATCATATCTTACCAAATTGTGCTATTTAATGACTCTATCTGTTGCCTCAGGCTGTCCATTTCTTGTTTCAAAGAACTTCTCTCATTTCTTAATTGTACTATGTAATCTGCACCTTTTTGTAACATAGCAGCTTTACTCATCTGCGAAAAAAAAATATATATAATGTTAATTCTCAACACCATAATATAACAGTATGCTTTGAAATATAACTAGTTCTTCAAACTAACGTAGTCAATTCTCAATTCATAGTCGATGATGAATAAATAATCTCTGTAGCTATTGTTATACAATAATCGTTAAACATTGAAGCTTGCTTTATAAAATATTTCTTTTTTATGAGAAGTTGAAAAGGAAACCTTAATCACTAAGAACTTGTTAAAGCAAACCAAAATCACTTCCCCATGAAAAATGCACTGACTTTGCCATAGTACTTTTGTTTCAATGAAGTGATTCCATTAGTATTAACTGTTAAATATTTTTTGTACCTTAGGGAGAGTAATAATTTTGTTATGACATATTTTTAAATAATATATTTAATATGTATTATTTAAAAAATTTAAATAATAATTTTGTTATGAAGGCTAGCGATCTTCGGAGTGTTAAAAATATTTTTAAAAAAATAAATGTGGAATCGAACATATTAAAAAAAAAAGAAAATTAAGGAGAAACAAGCAATTCAGAAATCAACATTATCAACCACAATAAAAAATAATAATTTAATAAAATAATCAAGGGTGTATAAATTTTACAAGGTTTTTATTTCCTTCACTACCATGACAACGTTCCGGCTTCCAAAGCCATTTTCAAGCCGTCTAAAAATAATAGTGATGTTAACCATCAATTTAATTTGGCAATAAATAAATTTTATCTGAAGTGAGACTGAGTAATTTAATATTTCGTATTTTCTTATATGATTAAAAAAAAAAAAAAAAAAGGCATATTTCTCAACAAATAAATTACTAATCTTCTAAGATATCAAGTCGAGCATATTGAAAAAAAAAAATATATATATAACATCACGGAGAAACACGCAATTCAGGAGTTAATATTATCAATCACAATAAAAAATAATAATTAAATTGATAGATGTATGATTGGTCAATGTCTTTAATAAATTAAGTGTACATATTAGGCTTGACAAAAAAAAAAATCTTCATTATGAACTTACTTATTAATATTCAGACATTACGAAGTTTATCTTCTGGCCCCTTTGAGTTCATTGTAATAACGGTTTACAGTATTAAATTTCGATCGAGTGATCCTAAATTTTTATTAACATTTTTCCAAATAAAAATCATACCTTAGCATTGGGATTCTGATGTAGCTGAGGGATGAGAGAGTGCAGAGTATCGAATCCATTCTTAATGTTACACCTTCTCTTTTGTTCAGCATTTATATGACACACTCTTCTATGCTCCTAGAAAATAATAATTAACTCTGTGCATTATTATTAAAAGTTTATTTGTTCAGTACAATTAATTATTAATAAAATATATAAATATTAAGAAAAGAGTTAAGCATTAAAAGACAACAGAAAATAAAAATATACCTTATACGCCGGAACATATTTAGGAGAAGCTGGACTTAACGGATTGAGCGGAGAAAGACTAAGAGAGTCCTGAAGTCCAGGAGACTCAGGACATCCAACGGGAGAGTTGACCTATAGAGGTAAAGGAAAATACAATTAATTTTAATTTCTTTGTAAAAAAATATTAATAAATACAATGAATATTTTCACACCTCCTAAAAATTCATTATATAATAAAAGAATAAAAATATAATTATATAATATCGAAAGAAGGTAGTCAACTGTTCTACATATTATGGGTGATAAATATTCAGGAAGCAGTAATTATAAGATTTTTATTAGTGCAGACGTTTCAACCCAAACATGTGGGTCATCATCAGGAAGTGGTCCAAGCACTGAAGATATTCAAGTACTGAATATCTACCGAAGAATCGAGTACTTAAATATCTTCAGTGCTTGGACCACTCACTGATGATGACCCACATGTTTGGGTTGAAACGTCTGCACTAATAAAAACCTTATAATGACTGCATCCTGAATATTTATCACTCAAAAATATATAATATCAGTTGATTAAAATGTTGGAATTTGTATATAGCTAAGAGAAATACCTCAAAATATTAATTTATTTATTCTAAAATCAATATTACATTCATTATATTACGTTTGATAAATTGCTTTGTACGATTCATCTTCGGGATCCCAAGGGACGCCTCTGTTTCCCGTTTTTATGCAGAGATAAAGTGGCTTTATCCTTCCTACCATCGTAAGTATTTCCTGGTATCCTTACTCTTTCAAATCATCTAATCCCACCATCCTTCATACATCTCCGAGCTCCTTCAATTTAAATCCTCAGTCCACTTCCGCAATACCTGTTCCCGGTCTTCAGATTTATATATAATGGTCCACCAAACCGCTGCTTTCAATAAATCTTTTATTATTCGATCCTCAACCCTAAGGAACTCCATCCCTCCCCACATGCGTCAATCCAAAACCCTTCCTACCTTTAAATCCCAACTGTTCAATTATTTCTTATCCATCCAGCCCTCATAAAATTGTAAATAGCTACTATTGTAAATATGTATATAAATTATTAGATCGTTTTTCATTATTTTTATTTCATGTTTAATTTCAATTTTTTATTTTTTATTATTAACTGATTTAAATGAGAAAGTAACTTATAATTTCTTTTATTTTTTCTATTTTGACTATTTGATCAAACTATATTCTTGTTTATGTATCTCTAAGGCTCCTTAGCCCACATCTTTGTCTCTCTGTATTATTCTAAAGGGACTCGTCCCAGAATAAATAAGGCATTATTATTATTATTATATAACCATAAAAAGAAGCAAACAATGTCGTAGCGAAATTAAAACTTATTTCTTTATTGGCTCTTCTCTCCATTAGTGATTCTTTTATAGAAAAGGAGCTGCGTTATTATGTAATTAGGTGATGTTTTATTTTTGGGTGATGTTGTTCTTATCACCTTCTCCAGCACTAAGTTGAACATCGGTGATAGTCCATCTCTCTGCCATAAGCCCATTCGACTTTTGAAGGCTTCAGATACTTCTCCTTGTATTAGGACTCGACATTTGGAGTAATTTGTACACGCCTTTGTCAATCTTACCAATCTTACCCGTAATGAATTTCCACAGAAAAAAAGGCTTCTTTGAAATCGACCAATAGGGCATTGACATCCTGAGCTAGCTCCCACTTTTTTTTTTAGGTTGAAAATCTGGTGTGCTTCTTCCTTTTCTGAATTCAGTCTGGTCGTCACCTATTATATTTTATTAATACGGATATATCTGTTTTAGTAGCATACTATTCCCTTAGATAATATAGAAGTAGAAATTATTAGTCATTAGTTTTCTACCACTCATCACTATCTTCTACAACTTGATATATTAAATATTACTTCTTCTAATAAGGGGGTTTTATGGTGCAAGTTTTAGAAAGGGCATATTTTGACAGGACTGTGAATTTTTGAGTGGGCACATTTAGCCAGGGTTATCAACTTTCGAAGTGAAAAGTTTCAAACCAGAGAACAAGGGGAAAACAATGGGCCAGACTACTGCAAGTGTAATTATATATGATCTATGCTTTTTCTAATTATATTGTTGTTTGCACTGTTTTTTTGTAAGAGAAAAGAAATAAAATTTCTTTATTGAATATTTAATAGTTGACCATTGCATTATAAAGGAAGAAGATTGTCTGGGGTTGCAGTAATAAATAGGCTAAATAGTGGTAAAACTATTTTATAAAGAGGACGTTTCGAGCTGACTTTGCAGATCTTCATCAGGGCTAGAACGGACAAGATACAAAAAGATAGAGAATTGAGGCAGTTACATAATATTTTGACATAATTTATAAACTATGTGAATAAGCTTTTTAAAATTATAAAAGTAAGTACAATAAAATATGAACAAAGTAAGCTGAGTAACAAGATCCTAAACTGAAATAAATAGATGCTAACAATTGTTGTAGTGTAATATATAATAAATGAAAATGTGAATATACTTCTACAAAATCTACAGGAGAGATTGAAAGAAAAGGAAAAAGGATATAATATGAAATAATAGATACTGTAAAACTTCCTAGGTTTTTCCCAATTATTCAGTTAACACATGTTAGCTTCCCCTATACCTGCTACCCTTAGCATTTGCATTCCAGTTCTAAGTGAAACTCCTAGATGAACACACCTGTAAGTCTCTAATTTTATTCTTCCAATTTTACTTACTTATTTATCTAATTTTGGTTTCCTTTTTCTTTTCTTTTTCCACCTTCCTTTATGTCTATTATTTCATATTATATCCTTTTTCCTTTTCTTTCAATCTCTCCTGTAGATTTTGTAGAAGTATATTCACATTTTCATTTATTATCTATTACACTACAACAATTGTTAGCATCTATTTACTTCAGTTTAGGATCTTGTTACTCAGCTTACTTTGTTCATATTTTATTGTACATACTGTTTATAATTTTAATAAGCTTATTCACATAGTTTATAAATTATGTCAAAATATTATGTAACTGCCACAATTCTCTATCTTTTTGTATCTTGTCCGTTCTAGCCCTGATGAAGACCTGCTAAGTCGGGTCGAAACATCGGCTTTATAAAATAGTTTTACCACTATTTAGCCTATTTATGACTGCAACCCCGGACCATCTTCTTCCTTTAAAATTTTTTTAGAGAGGAGTGGGAGAGAGTACCTGCACCATTGACCTTGAGGATGGGGGGGGGAGGAGGTATGGGCATCCTTCAATAGAACAAACAAAAAAAAAAAGAAATACAAATAGATCCTACAATTTTATATAGAGATAAGTTAAAGTAAAATAGTGAATAGTGAATGTATTAATAACTTTTTACAATCAAATAACTAAAATTAATTTATTCATTATTCAAAACAAAATATAGCAAAACAGACAAATTCACAAATATATTTATAATTTTTTACTTATGCATTTAGTCTATATTAAAACTGAGTTTTATACAACACAGGTATAAAAAAAATGATAAATACCACAGATTGGACTGGCGACTGCTGAACTGGTGAAATTAATGAAGTAGAAGGCGACGTGTCAGACAACGAATTAGAGCTGTGCTGAATAGAGCTATCACCTTTCATCGCATAGCTCTTAGCCTGCTCAATATTGTTTACTCTACTATTTTCACTAAAATAAAGGTAGAAACAGAAAAACTAATTAATAAAAAATTACGTACTCATTACTAAAGATTATTGATGGCCTTGTATAACATGCTTTTTTAAATATTGAAAATATATATATATATATATATATATATATATATATATATATATATATATATATATATATATATAATGCATTAATAATTTTCAAATACCATTGATATGAAGATATATATAAAAATACATTTTTTTTTCAAAGTGCTTGTTTAAGGTGAAAATTTTTTGAATATTATAAAATAAGGCTCTATTTATTTTTTCACCATATTTATTTTAATCTTTATAGCTACGTTTCGGCCCGTAAGCCATCCTCAAGCCATCTATAATATAAACAACATTAATTCTGTATTTTAATGTAATTCAGAATTAATCGTGTTTATAGTTTTATATTATAGATGGCTTGAGGATGGCTTACCGGCCGAAACATAGCAATAAAGATTAAAATAAATATGGTGAAAAAATAAACAGAACCTTATTTTATAATACATTTTTTTTTTTTTTTTAACCCAACAAAGGTGCACCAATGCGTCATATTTTCTTTTTATTATATATCAGGCCTCGATATCTTTAATCTTTGAAAAGAAGGGAAGAGGGTTAAAATTGAAGTCTTACATTTTTATTAGTTTTAATAGTGTCCATTAAATATATATAAATTACTTATCCCAAAAAGAGACCAATTTATTTTTTAAAAAATCTGTAGTACTTTAACCCATGAAGGGGTTTTAAATACATGACTTCTTTTTTTTTTTTTCAACTTAGAACTTAGCTGGATTAGACTTAAAATTAGAGTGAATTAAAATAAATGTACACGTTAAGAATATAATTGCTGAGGCAGGTAGGCAGCAAACATACAGTGGCAACCAAAAGTATTAATACAACAAATATTTTGCAAATTTACGATAAATATACGATATTTACAATACATTAAATATCATAACAATAAGGTTTATACAAATTTAAAATAATAAATACTACATTGGTAAATAAATTTAATTACTAAAAGTATTTGCATACTACTAAATAATAGACACTTCTTGCCTTCATAAAGAGGATTATGATTTGTCCGCTGGGATTAAGGTCAAAGTACAGGCCCATATTTATTAGTTATTTTCTAAAACATGATATTAATCTGGTTAACTGCAACCATATCCTCAAAGAAGGGTGAAATATCTCAAGCAGAAAGAGAAAAAGTTATTTTATTCAGAAACATGGGAAAAAACATACCGTGAGATCGAAAAAATATTACAAATACTCTTCTCTACAGTACGATATATTACAAAAAGATATGATGAGACAAATAATACCTAGAAAACCAAGAGTTCTAACTTAAAGGGAGTACTGCGACATCCTAAAACAAATTAAAAAGAACCTCTCTACAAGCTGCTGGAAACTTGCTGATAAAGTCGCTTTAATTTCCCAGAAGGTTCTATTGTAACAGTTCTTTATCAGAAAGACTTGTATGAGAGCATTCCAAGAAAGATCCAATTCATTTCTGAGCTTAAAAGAAAGAAAAGTTTTGCATTTACTAAAAAATATACAGATAAGCCTACTGACTTTTGGAAAAATGTTCTTTTTATCGATGAAAGCCAGTTTAGTTTATTTGGCAGATATTGAAAAAAAATACATTTGGCGAAGGCCAAACCAAGAATTAGAATAGATAAATTCACTTCCAGCCGTTAAACAGAGAAATAAATAATATAATGGTCTGGGGATGTATCTCTTGCCATGGGAAAATGGGAAAATCCACGATAATATACTTAAAACTGAGAATTACATAAATATTTGATAGCATAATTTAGTTATCAGTGCTGAAAATAGGGATGACATATTTTTGTATTCAAACAGGATAATAATCTGAAACACACTGCTCATAAAACAAGAGAATGACTTTTATACAATGTGCCCACGCACACAGTTGTATAATCCGTCTCAATTACATTTGAAAGTTCGGAAACATCAAATTTTAAAAACTATTGCTTATTGAGTGGGGACAAATCGATCAAAATTTATTAAAAAATCTAGTCCACTCAATGCCTCAAAGACTACAATCAGTAATGAATATTAACGTACTCCATACAAAATATCAAAAATATATAACCTAAAAAACCAAAAAACTTGTACCCCTAACAACCCATGAAGGGTCTTGGGTTCAGTACAATGTGAGGAAGTACTATTACAAGGCCAATGGTTGTGCAGGGAGGTGATTGGGCTGATATCACGCTCAACCTTGATTACTTCTCCCTTAATTAATTATTGAATTAAGAGTACAGGAGGGTTCCTGGACCAAGGGTCGATCAATAGCTGATGAATTACTAATCATAAGCCGGATTCGAACCTAGGAATTTAAGCCCAGGAAGTCTGTGCACACCCACTGAGCGCTATCACACTCCCATTAAAAATATATACATGTGCAAATACTTTTGAAGGAAGATTTTATTTATTCTCAACTTGTGGTTTATTTTATTATTTTATTTTTACATATTTTATCATCTCAATAAATATATTTATAAGTAAAAGTTTCATCCTTTAATAAAATCTTGACACCAAATATATGCTAGCACAAATACTTTTGGTTGCCACTAAATGACAATAGGATGTTATATAGATAAGTTTTGTGATTCATTAGACATGTTTTTATTGGATTATTTGTAATTTTAAATAAAATTATAACTGTATTAGAGTGTATGCGTACTTTCTTTTCATTATTTCAAAAAATTGGCACAAAAAGCTGAGAACCCCTATTATATGCATTAACTAAATAATGTTGTTAATCAAGAAAGTACCTTTGCTGAGATTGGTATATAAACTGATTGTCGATTGAATCATATGGAATATATGGCACGGAAACGTCAACACACTGCTGATTATGAGTTGTCGACTGTTTAGAAGAATTAGAACCAGATTCCAGCAAGTTGTATAAACTACCAGAGCCTGAAAATTGTAATGTTATAAAAAACGGAGGCATTCCTTGGAAAGTAAATTATAAAAATCCATGCTTAACTTACTTGATGTTAATAGTTGCTGTAGAAGTGCTGTGTTTTGTTGATGTTGCTGTTGCTGTTGTTGTTGTTGCTGCTGCTGCTGTTGTTGCTGTTGCTGAGTAGAAGTGACAGAAGACAAAGACTGTAAACTTCTTGTATTTACATCCCCTTGAACCAAATTTGAGGAACTGTTTTGACTAACCAATTTTTTGTTAATTCCAGGATTCGAACGGGACCGATGTTTAGTTTTTTGCTGAAAATGTAAAATAATTACTAAATAGAAGCTAAAATAAGAAAAAAAAAAAATGAATTCACATTATCGATGGCTTACTTCTAAAAACTTTAAAGTCGTATTCACTTCTTCCATAAAATCTTGTAAGCACTATACAGTCATTCATTTACTTTAAAAATTATCAGGTGGGGTGCTATGTTTTTTAAATATTTAAAATTTTTTTTAAATACAAAAGGAAAAAAAAACTATTTTAACTTTTTTCAATTATTTTCTTATTTCTAGTGTATAATTTGTTTTTCTGAACTTAAAGATTTTTGAGGTGAGCCATGATAGGACAGATAAAATTTAGTTAGCTTTGACTAATAGTAAATAAATAAAATGGGATCAATATATTCATATTTTACTAGATAATTTCAGAAGTCTGCTTGGATTAATTACTTTTTTATTTGTCTTCCCCTTCCTCGTATTTAAAAAAGAGTTAAGTTAAGCAGAGTTAAAAACCACCCTGGCACTGGGATGCGAGCTCATAATTATTTTATCAAGATTTATCTTCTATCAGGTTGCCAGGCAACACGGTGCTGTGCACATGCCCACTGCATCTCCTGAATTAATTCATTGCTGACAATCAAGTTTCTATTTTAATCCTTATACGACAATTGGTGTCAACGTGGAGGATGGAATATCCTTAGAATAACGTGGAATATCCTAACCAGTGATGGATATAACTAAGAAATTTTTTGTCTTTTTTGGATTATGCCGCCATAATTATTGTAGTTATAAACTTCTCCGTTGGACATTTAGAATCTCTAGGGTCTCCTTTTTCTATTTAACACTTTAAAATTGAAAAAAAATATTCAGTTACACTGAAATTCAATTGTTCTAGTAATTGACAGGGGATTTCAGAAAAATTCTAAAATATTTATTTAACTATAAATATAAGATAACATAAATGTTCAACTTAATCTTAGCAAAACTATTATTAGAAAGGTATGAAACGCACTGATCTCAAGAGCACTATAAAAACAACGATAGGCATTGTAAAATTTTCTTTTGAAAACTTTGTTCATACAGTTGTCAATAGAGGGCATTGTTCTTCAAGCTGGAAAAAACTGAAACCTTTAAATCAACAAGGAGTCTTATTATTTACATTTAAAACCAACTTGTCCATAACTGGTGCGTTCACCCTACTTTTTGAATATATGTCGTATAACATTTTGCATTTCTTTTTTTTTTTTTTTAATGTTCTTCCATACCTCGCCATTTAGGCTAAATGGGATTTCCCCAGGCCGGAGGGTGAGGGCGGGGAATTTAAAACCCCTCCGGCACCGGGACACAAACTCGTACTTGGGCAACTCGCGGTGCTGTGCACTCGCTTTAGCCCATTCGGCCACCCCGGCCCTCCTAACATTTTGCATTGAATATCTGAAATAAATACGATAAGGATCTACCTTAGGACTAATATGAAGCTCCTCGCTGAGCTGAGAAGGAAGAGGCGGAGGAGGTGGCGGATGATAAATAGGTAGGCCATAGTCCATGGCTGGCGGAATATACCACGTTCCAGAGTATTGATTGGGGTGAAAGTTCTGATTGACTCCCTGTTTCTCCTGTACAGCTCCTGAAGACATGGATGACGAGTTTTTGGAAAACGTGCTTGAATGAAGAGGTGCTATTTCCTCTTGAACAGTCGACAGCTTAGAGCAAAGCAAATCTAAAATTGAAATTTATTACCTAAAGTATAAAATAAACATAAGAGATCCATTAATATATTGAATGGAAACCAATGTGTTTAAATATTTTCAAAAAATAAAACATTGAAATTACCATGAAGAGGTTCTATATCCATATATTCGTCTAAACTTGGTTGAAGCTGAACTAAACTTGGTTGGATAAAATCAGCCAGGTTCGCTCCTCTTGCTAAACAATAATCAAATAAAAAGTTCATGTATACTAAAATGTAATAATAATTTTTATTTTATTTAATTATTGAAATATACAATAGATTTACACAAAATAAAAATAAATTTTTTTATTTAGTAAAAAAAAAAAATAAATAAATAAAATGTGAAGAGACTGTGAAGAAAGGTTTAACTTCTGTATATAAAAAGGTCATGGAGATTATTTATTTTTGGATACCTCAGAGGACTGTTGATCAAGAAGTTGGGGGCTTTAAAAGTAAAAGGATAAGTTTAGGGGAGAAAAAACTATCCTCATATATTATTTATCAAAGATGTTTTTTATCGGTATGTTATATCTTCCTTAATAACTCATCAAAAAACTAAACGGCAACGTTAATGAGAAAGTTTATAAAGTAACAGGACTCGAAATAAACACGGATAAGACAAAATATATGGTTAGCTGCAAAAATGGCGATTTTGCTGTTGATATCGTTATAGAAGATAATTTGTTGAATTGAACAGGTAGAGAAGTTTAGGTATCTAGGGTCTACGATAACTAGAAAAAACGAAATTGGAGAGGATATTAAGGTTAAGCTGAAGGAAGGAAATGCTTATTTTTCTGTGACAAAACTACTTAGCTCACGCCTCTTGTCCCGGAATTAAAAGACTAGAATATATAAAACCATTATCTTACCTATAGTCCTGCATGGATGCAGAACGTGGCCTCTTACATTAAGGGATGAGCAACGTCTTAAGGTTTTTGAAAATAAACTATTGCGTAGAATATTCGGATCGAAGAAGGATAAGTTAACCGGAGGATTCAGAAGGTTACACAATGCCGATTTGTGTGAACTGTATCCGATTAATGTAATTGAAGTGATTACATCGCATTGAATCAAATGGGTTTGTAAAATTGTTGGGCTCAGTAACAAAAGAATTCCCAAAAGGTTAATATTTGCTGTACAGAATGGTTAACGTCCAAGTGGAAGACCGAGTCGAAGGTGGGAAGATTGCTTTAAAGCCGAACTAAAGGGACTGGGTTTGGACAGCGAACGGTGGAGGAAGGTGTGTAATAAGCAATTGGTGGTATCGGCATCGAACCTTCGGGCATGCTAAACCTTTTATTATTATAATAACTCATCAAAACTAGGGATGAGTTATTGTAAGTCCTATCAGGGAGAAAAGATTGAAGGGTAAAGAAATATATGTATGATGGTATTGTCTTTAATTTATACTGGAGCCAGACTTTTGGTTTCTAAATAATGATTATTATTGTTTTTATTATGAAAAAGATAAAAAAAATTACAATCCTTATAAAGGGTGGCTCAGTCATCAATAGCCAAATTATGAGAGGTGATTCTAAACAAAATTTCTTGTAATGGCCGATTTCGGATGGAAAACGAGTTAAGTCCAATTTTTGCCTTTCCTTAAGTTGGTCATATTTTATCTTTCATAGGAACCGATAACACAAAAAATATTTAATTCAGATCATTAAAAATTGCTTCATAGTAAACTAAATAAAATTCACTTGAAATAAAAATAGAGTTTGTGAAAATTATTCAAAGGGGACTTTTGAGCAGCCAAACAACGCTAAGTTGTGTTTTTCATTAAATCATGGATTATTCGTAATTTTGTTTTCATTATCACCTTATATAATACATTTTTTAAGGCAGTATTTTTTTAAACATATTTTTCAAATGAATAAAAAGTGTATTTTCATAACTAATTTACTAAAATAGATGTCAGGTCAAAAGAAATAAGAAGGAATTAAAATTTAGTAATAGTTTCTCGGTTGTCATTTTTGCTGAACATACAGTTACCCTGGTGTGGTACCATATCAAATCATATAATTTTTCAAACAAATAGAGATGAATCTAAAACAAACCTTAAACAAGAAAGTTTTTATAAAAGTGGGGTATGTGCAGTATAGTTGTAGAAGGATAAAATACATTGCGAATAATTCATAATTTAATGAAAAACACAACTTAGTTTAGCCACTTAAAAGTCCCCTTTAAATGGTTTCGACAAAGACAAGAAAAACTCTACTTGTATTTGAAGGAAATTTTATTTAGTTTACTATGAAGCAACTTTTAATTACTTGAATTAAATGTTTTTTTGTCATCGCTTCCTATGAAAGATAAAATATGACTACCTTATGAAAAAACAAAATTGGACTTGACTCTTTTTCCGTTAGAAATCGGCATTCATCAAATGAATTTTTTTTGGGGTATCTCAGTACCCTGACCCTGTAAATACAAACATTTTTATGCATAAATCTTTTTCAAGGAATCTTCACATTTAACATTTAGAGATTCAACTATAATACGCACTGTTTAAAACAAATCATTACCTATCTCTCTCGTATCTGGAAATGGAAACGGCACACTTCCAGTGATCGTTGAGAAAAGAGTATCACTCATTAGATTCATATAATCCTCATCGACCATCATTTGGCTATCTGATATCGGAGTCTGCCACTCGGAATTTTCGAATTCCACTAACTAATAAAATAACATTAATTAATACTCGTCTTCAGTATTTATAAACGAGTGAAATATTAAAAGTATTACATGATACATACTAAATCGTGGCCATATTTTTCCGGCCTTCCTAAAATTTGATTGTGAGTAAACATTCGCCATTTTTTGTATTCTGCAGTAACAGCATTCAATTTTCTTTTCCAATATTTCCCTTCTAGAACAATAGCCTGAAAATTATTAAAAAAAATAAAATAGAATACAGATTATAACAGATTAAAGGCATTGAAAAATTCCGCTTAATATTACCTCTGGTTTATTATGAGTGTCAACATCCAACGGAGAAGCAAACTGGCATACTAAAGTACTTTGTTTGTTGATAACTAAAACAAACAGAAAACTATAATTGAGAGGAGACTATAGAGAACCGAGCATATTGAAGCAGCACTTTGGTAATAATATTCCCATTCTCATATAAAGAAACTGAAGAGAGAAATGAATTAGAAACTGGGTAATTAAAAGTGAACACACACACACACACACACACATATATATATATATATATATATATATATATATATATATACACACACACATGTATATATACTTTAAATCAGGAATCGGGATGTGGTCTTCTAGACAAAGATCTATATGGTTTGTAGCACCAACCGAAAAAAAAAAATATATATATATATACACTGACAGGCAAAAATTCCACCCACTTGTTACCCATTAAGGAACCACTTTGGAAAGGTTGGCTTTGGGAAAAATTACAGGCTGCATATCTTTCGATTCTTCTTCTCCACACCCTTTCACGCCTGTCTGGAGATCGAAGAGCGAATCTTAACTCACCTGTAAAAAGTACAGCACTCCATTCGTCCTTAGTCCAATGACTGTGTCCTCGAGCAAAAGCCAGCCGTGTTACTCTGTGAGTTTTGGTCAACTTTGGTCCTCTTACTGGACGAAAAGCCATTAATCCATACTCATTTAATCTTCTCCGTACGTTCAGAAATTTGCACACCTCGAACTTCTTCGAGCTGATGAATCGCTTGAACAACGGTAAGGTGCCGGTTCCGTAAAATTCTCAAAGTCAAAAACCGGTCATCCCTTGGTTCTGTTACCCTAGGCCGTCTAGAACAGGGCCTTCTATTGTAAGAACCAGTTTCCCGAAAACGCCTAACGGCGTCTCGTAAAGTTTCATATGGAACTGCAATGGGATTAGCTGCATATCTAATGGAACGTCCATCATCAATAAGTGCCACACCACGCGCAACATCCTCAGCACTAAGAGGCATTTTTAAACTTAATATTGAAAAAATTAAAAGCCGGAGACTGAGAAATGTGCTGCAAGAAATGGCACTGAACTAATGATACTGCATAAACATTTTGATTCCATAGAAAGTAAACATTGGAATCTAGAATCATTTCATTGAATTAAGGATGAAGGGTTATTGCCCTCTACATTAACATTCCTAATTGAAAACAAACAAAAAGGTTACCTATTTATTCATTAAAAACAATAGACCAATCCAAAGCAGAAATATTTTTAGATGAAAACATGAAAAAATCAAGTGGGTGGAATTTTTATTCTGTCAGTGTATATAAAATCGCCCTAAACCCCCTACCTACTTATATATATGATTTCAATGACTCCTATTGGTTTAACAGGAATGAACTGAAGCACTGAGACAAAGATAGGAAAAAGGACTAGAAGCATGAAGAGACACCTATGAAAAGTTATGGAGAAGGTTATGAAAAAATCAATAACGATTAGAACAGTTAATTTTAGGGATTCGATTAATTTGTAAAGATTTTTGATTATTTCTATGAGTTTTAACATTTAAAAACATCGGATGAAATCCAGATTAAAGATTATTGCTTTGAGAAAGGAAACTGTGAAGATGGTAACTAATGTTCAAATTTACATTTAATACATACATATAAATATATTTTTAGTTAATTAATTGATTGTCTTGACACCGAATCATGGTTCATGCTCTTAGGTATAATTAGATAAAGTTAAGATTTCTACATCTGATGAAGTACGTAATTTAGGACTATACTTGGACAAGAGATTGACATGGAGAGACCATAATAGACTGAACAGAAGACAACTGAACAAACAGTTCCAACTTTATTCAGCTAACTTGGTAGACAATCCAAATTATTCTTAACTAACAAACTTATCATCTACAAATTACTTAAAAAACCTTTATGGGCATGGGAGACGGAGCTATGGAGCATTGCTAAAGCCTCCAACAGCCAGAAAATTCATTCATTCCGGTCATAAACATTGCAACAAATAGTGGATGCACTATTTCATATTATTAACTACTTGGTACAGAAGGACTTGGATATTCAAATGGTGTCAGATACTACAAAGTATACCATAAAAACTTCTACCAGAGATCGACTTAACCTATACATCCATCCACCATGAATCCATACATCCCACCTTAACAACTTTTGAGATGGTTTTTAAGTATTAATACTTACCCATATTTGCTTATCGCAAAAAATAATTTTCCTATGGAAAATTTTTCAAGCCTGTCTAATTGTATTCATACAAATATACAATAAAAATATTTAAATCTATTGTTCTGAATTTACTTACATTGCATATGCCAACATCGCCAGATGACATTGTTGAGCCTTATTTTATCTTTCCACCTTAAACGAACTCCTTTGAACCTGTTCCACTTCGGAGAGGTAAGTTTCTGCCTGGAAAAAATATAGTAAAATTAAAATAATATACTTTAGTATTTTTTTTTAGTGTTATTTGATTATAGCACATGTCTCCAAACTATGGGCTGTGCCCACAGCCGGTCTGGTCTGCTTTTTTTGGGTCTAATTCAATTTTTTTGTTTGAAACTTGGACTGTTATTGATAGCCAGGCTTTAATTTATCGCTAATATTAAATATGCAATATAGAAACACTTTTTAAAAATCAAAACGTATGAGGTATTATTATGCTAAACCTCGTTAAGTCAAATTTTTGAAATTTTATTTTAAAAAAAAAACACTGAAAATCTTAATTCCTAAGAATGGAAATAATTTTTCTGAGAAAGTATCAATTATTTCAATTATTAACATTCTAATTACTATGTAGTCCTAATTATAGGATTCTCAGTAATCTGTGTCTGGCCAAACTTCAACGGATTAAGGTTAAATGCTGCTAAAACTCAGGCCATTGTCATTGGTTCCAAGCCCCTCCTTAGATCCTATACCGACTTTCCCATACTAAACCTTGGTGACCAGCCAATCTTCTACTCCTCTGTCAAAAATTTAGGACTATTCATTGATTAAACCCTCTCCTGGAATCACCATATTTTTCACATATCCCAACGGACAATTTCTACCCTCAAACTATTCCATCGCTTCAGCCATCTCCTACCTCAACATACGTGCAGACTCCTGGTTTCCTCTCTCATCTTCCCCCACTTTGACTACAGCTGTGTGGTGTATGATGGGCTCTTGGTGGAGCTTCATGATAGACTGAAAAGACTAATGAACAGTTGCGTGAGATTTGGAATTGGTACCCCGAGATACTCCCATGTGTCTCACCACTACACTGAGTTACAGTGGCTCTTCCCCTCCATGTGAAGACAATATTTCCTAGGTAAGTTCCTTTATCATATCATCAACAATCATCGTCCTTCTTACGCCTACAACCTTCTTCAATTCAAGTCCTCAGTCCACTCCCTTTCCACAAGATCTCGATCTTCCGACCTTTACATTCCTTCCCACAGATCTGCCTCGTTCCAAAACTCCTTTGTTGCTCGCTCTGTTAATTTTTGGAATTCCCTTCCTATCAAAATTCGGCATTCTTCATCCCTATCTATATTCAAAACCCTGCTATTCCAATACCTGGCCCAAAAACAGTCAGATACCCGCTAACCTTGTATGTAAAATAACGTATTATTCATAATAATGTATTTACATATAGGTCATCACTTAAATACTTACTATCAGATTCGACTTTCTTTTTTTTCAACAGAAATACAGAGTTTACTTTTTTTCAACAGAAATACAGAGTTAACAAGAGTTTTGTATATAGATTTTTTTATTTTATTTACTATATAGTATGTATAACTAATATTTTCTTTACTTATTTTCTTTATCTTTACTTTTTATGTTTGTTTTTATTTGGCCAGATATAGCATTTTAATTTTGTACTTTTTTGTTATTCTAAAGGGACTTCGTCCCAGTATAAAATTATTTTCTATTCTATTCTAATCTAGCATTTTGTGTTAGATTTGGTGGATTTTAGCGTAACAATAATTTCAAACTAACACATATATATACAGTGGCTCACAGTGAATTAAGTACATTTCACAGAAAAAATACATAAATGTGTAAAGTAAACAAATAAAATCGGAAAATCTTCAACAGATTTATTTAGTATCTCAATTTAAATATGTACTAGCTCAATAAAATTAAAATATTCAACAGTAATCATTAAAAAAAAAAAAAAAGATAGTTTCAACTTTAACTATCTATTTATTAACTTTTAAATACAATTGATTTAGTTCGACACCTAGTAGGCAAGCCATTATTTTTCATCACTTCTTTCAGTCTGTTCCACTCTTCGAGGTCTTTTAAAGTCTTCTTTGCTAGAAATTTAGTGTTTTCTAATTTCTACCTACAATTTTTCCCACAGATGTTCTATCACATTAGCAAATTAGCCATTCCTTAACTAACTTAGCAAAGGCGTTTGGATACATTACTCTGATAAAAAGATTTTCTGAAATTTCTTTCAAGTTTCTTTTCAAAATTTTTATGTATACACATTCATTCACTATAGATTATGAATTGTTTTCACTATAAATTGAAAATTTCCTACACCAAAATTTGCTGTACACCCCCACACCAAGAAATAGAACATAAGAAAGCAACACCTTACTTGAGTGTTTATTGATTACAATAAATAATTGTTTTCATTGTAATGTAAATTGAACTATTTATTTAGTCAATAATTTCGACCAATATCATTTTGACTGTGAGCGACTGTGTATGTATATATGAACCTTGTTTCTTTTACATTATTTTTAAATATCAAATAAATTTGGGATAATAAAAATACTTTCTTCAAAATTACTTATTGTTAACCAAATTGACAAATGAATTCATTGAGAAAAATATTAGAATGTTGCTATTATTTTATTTTATTTATTTTTTACTTGGTTATAAAGAGTTTTAAACAAATCCTTTTAGCTATAGATAGATGGTATCTCAAAGGCTTGAATGAAAAAAAAAAAAAAAAAAAAATGGATTTACCTGTATTTGATATAGAATGCCATATATATTAATAATATACGCATAGAGTGTAATTATGCAAAAATAAATTCATAGTAATTTTTCTGATTTTTGTAATTAAACATTTAAAATGTTTTACATATTATACAAAAATTTTATTCAGTATACCAGGATTTTTCTAATAATAATTCCTAGGTTTCTGATAAAAATTCGATAGTTAGGATTTATGCAGATTCAATATGTTGTAAGTTCAAGGTTCAACTATTTATACATATGTATTAAAATTACAGATAAATATAAATGTATAACTATATAACATGTACACTTATATTATAGTTTTAAATGACTGTAGTCTACATATTTTTCAGTAAATAAAATTCATTTTGAACAATTTTTATTTTTATTTTTTACGATGCTCATCTTATAAAAATTTCAATTCTTCATAATGTTTATTGCTTTCTAACCCCTACAGATTTAATAATTAGAAAATCGAATGTTTTACTTTCAATAAAACATTATCGTGTGAAATTTTGCAGTAAATAACGGAAGTAACTACATCACACATTTCGCACCAAATATGTTTAAACAAAATTTACAAAAAAAATATCCTATAAATGAAAAATTATATTTAAGGCATTAAGTGCTTTGAAAGAATTATATACCAATTATATGTAGAACTACATATGAAAGCAGAAAAACTTATTTAAAGGAAATATAATGTGCAAAAGATTTTCATAATTTTTCTGGATATTAAGTGATAGGTCAAAAGTTACATAATCTGCATTGATAACCAACTTTATTTGACTTGGGAATGCTACTGTCATACATCATAATTATCACTTTCTGCTATTAAGTGTTTAAGCTGAACAAATAATAACTAATATAATAAATTATGTTACGTAAAAACATATTCGGGACAATAATGGATATTGGACGTTAAAGAAAAATCTACCCTTACATGTGATTTTAAAAAGGTTTTCATTATGTAAGGTCATGTAATGCACTGGATCATAGTTAATGTCAAAGTTGAAAAACATACGATGAAGTTTTCAGTAATTAAAAGCAGAAAACTTTATTTAATAAATTTACTGCATTAATGAAGAGATTAAATATGCATATAGCGAACTTTTTGTAATCAGTTCTATTTATAACTAAGCATAGAATTACAGGTTAATCAGAATCAATTGTTGCAATCGATCACTATTTATTATCTTGAATAGTACACAAAAAACATTATGGCAGTTGAGATAATTAAATAAATATGTGTTAATCAGTGTAATTTATATATATATATATATGATTAGAAAATATTGAAAAATATATAATTATACCGGATATCATTTAAGCGAGTATATTACCGTGCAAATTAATATATTGTTAAAAATTTATAGATATTATAGAGGTATTTTGTTCTTTTGACAGAAACTTACCGGTACGCTATAGACATACATTGGAAAAGTTTTGTTAATGAAGTCTCTATCGAAAGTTGATTAGGTGAAAATTTCTTCTCACTAACAGTCATTCTGCTTTGTGATAAGAGCCTATGGCATGGTATCACAGCTTTAGGTTCGCTAACTTCAGGTACAGGTACCGCAAGCTCATCTTCATCATCCTGTGCTTCGGCTTCAAAATCAGAGATCATAAACTGACCAGAATGTATAGATTCTTTATTGGTATCTTTCCTTGTTCTTATCAAATGTTGCTTGAAATCTACTTTCTGAGCCATGACTGTCATATTATTAATATTTCAACTATATAAATGTGTGTAATCACCTTCCAAAACTTGGTGTAGAGTTAGAGCACTATGAAATTTGTAAAATTATAAAAAAACACCACTCCACAATACACTATAACCATATTAATTAGACTACACTAATAACAACACTTCTCCTGTGTCGCCATTTTGCGACGTCACATTTCTTGTCTTGTTTATAAAAGCTGGGATATCAAACGCGTTATACGCCTTATCAAATACGTATTTACTACATAAAAGGAAAAGATCTGTGCACCTAGTCGAAAGAAATCCTTGGTTACTAGCCTTCGGGTTTTTTAGTATTAAATTAAATATTCTAGTTATTCAAACAATATTCTATACATTCAAAAAATATTTCATCTCTATTCCCTTGCTATTCTACAAATAATTACTTTACAATTATCAAAAAAGTACACAGAATAAGCATAAGAATTAACGTATTAAAAATTACATTCAGTCATGTTAATCACACTTTAATAAATATAAAAACATGAAAGAGAATTTCAAAAATACCTCTTCAAAGTAGTGATGGAAACGTATTCAAAGCTTGAAAAATTATCTTCTTAAAAATATATCAATTTAAACTTAACAAAGTTCAAAAGTGATATTTAAACTAACTAAAAATAATTAAGGAGAATTTTTTTAAACGATAGTACATAAAGTAATCATATATACGATATCTTTTTTGACAAATTGAAATTCTGCATTCTAAAATAATTTAGTTCACTTTACAAATTATTATTTTCATTTAATGAAACAACATTGATAAATACTTAATCAAATCAGCAAAATATTGGTTTAGTTTTCTCCCAATAAATATCAATTTGTTTGGTCAATTTATTACCTTAACGAATTGTTTTTTTTTTAAATATAAAATTGATTAAAGTTCGTGGAATACTTTTAATTAAAATCTACAACGCCATCTATTCTGGTACTATAAAATATCAATCCATTGTCAAGAATAAAATATTTCGAAACCATAAAAAAATCCCTTAAATAAAACTATAAAATAAATTTGATAAAATTCTTATATTTCAAAGTAATCACTCATTGTTTAAATCATGTTTTATTAAACTTTTAGGTAGTTATTAACATTATAACATAGTTAGTTAATATTATCAATCGAATTGAAAATAAAAAATTGACATCTCCAAATTTAGATGCGGTGGAGGTTAAGTAAACTAAATTGTGCAAGGACGTTGTTAACAGAATTCTATCAAGCATCAATATATCATTGAGTAATTACAATTTTGATATTTATAATCAAGAATGGTTATAGAAATTGTATATAATGTAAATTGTGTATATATTAAATAAATTGCTTAATTATTTAATAAAAATTAATTTCTCAAAGTATTAACAGAATATTTATTACTAATGATAAAAATTACATATAAAATTTATTTTGAAGACACAAAAAGCTTCATTTTCGTAGGATGAAATTCCTAATTCCCGTTTTACTCTTTAAATATGAATTTTTCTAATAAAAAAAAAATTACTTGGGGGATATTGTATTTTTAAATCGCATTATATAACGTGCTTTCATTATTTTTGTAGGACAATAGCATTTTTTAAGTACTTGTGTTACTGTACTTTTTTTTAGTAAAAAAAAAATCGACTTTTCATATTTTACCTTCTTACATTTTGTTTAATGTGTAACAAATAATTCGTATAACATATTTAGCTTATAATAAATTAGTATGAAATATTATTAGGATCCATCTTATGATATCATGGTCAATTTTAATATAGCGTGTATCGAAATTTTCTCTTTTATTTTATTATAACTTTTTCGCATTTGATATGAATATTGAAAAAATAAATTTAATGTTTTAAAATGAAATTCTGTGTTTGCCCAATAGTTATTTTTATATTAAAAAAATTCTGAAACAGAAGTTTTTTTTGTCTTAAAACATTAAGGTATCTAACGTAATGAACTTTGCATTTAGATTTTTTATTTCCAATTATAAAATATGGTAACGGTATCAATTATTCTTTGCCCAAAATTGATCTTGGCAAGACCAAGACCAAGACCGCCTAACTGTTGCAAGACCAAGAACAGGACTGGTAAAAAAAATCGATTTTTCAATAAGATTTAAGGCAAAATAGTTACTAATACTTGGCAATTTTAGTTACTATATCTAAATAATTGGTATAACCAATATACTTTTGCATCTAACTCTTCTAATTTTTCATCCGTGCATAGTTAGGTTTCTTCTATATAAAAAATTACAGTAATATCTCTATAGTAATAAGCTAATAGGCAACTGCAAGACTCTTGCGCAAGACCAAGACTGAGTGGTCTCGCATTTGGACAACACTATGAGAAAACAAATTATCTAACTTAACTAACAGCGACATTATTTCTAAACCAATCTATTTATTTTTCTTGATACCGAAAACAGATAGAAAATATCAAAAATCAGAAACAAAAATACTAGCATAGTGAAATAACTATTTATATATTTGTTTGTCCCATAGTTTGAGAAATGTCTAAATTTACATTTAAGCGTTCAGACCGAAGAAAAATCTTAAAGATATTAACACTGTAGAATATACTGTAAATAATATAATTTTATAATGAATTATTATCATATAAAAACATGAAAAAAAATCCGTCTCTAATTTCAAAAGTAATATTTCAAATAATTATCATACTATACGATAAACGTAAAAAACAGAAATATATATGCTACTTGCCGATATATCAGCTTTTCGAAGGTGTTCTTCGAATTCGATCTCAGCTGGGACAGATCCCAATCCCCTGCCAAGTGTCATGAATGCTAAAGAGATATCAACGAAGTGGCACAGTTCAAAAATATTTCAGTTTCCAAGATGAAGAAACTTTAAAAGAACTCGTTCTGATGATAATTCGTTGGCGATCCTCGACTAAAGAAAACTGTAATGGAACTGTTCGTCAACTTTCAGGTAAACCTTCATCTGTCAGTAGCTTCCCTCGTGATTCGAACGATAAACGTATCATCGAAGTATGATGTGGTCTGTGACCGGGTCGTGCAAAAGAGTGCATAGTCTCTTTAAAGGTCATTTTAAAAGTTTTCTATTAATAGATTAATAGTTCATCTATATATCTAATTTATCATGTACATATGTAATGTATGTTACATAAATTACATACATACAGATTATCAGATGCTTATCGTCTGTTTAAAAAGTCACTGACAGGTCATTGTCAGTGGATCACAGATTCAACCATTTTTTTTTTTTTGTAGTGGCAAATCTGCAACGAAAAATATTGAACATAGCTACTTTTAGTGCAAATGATCGTATAAAAATTGAATGTTTCACAAGAGGGCATTAAAAACGAATCAATTCTTTATGATTTAGAATAGAAAATAATTTTATTGTGGGACGAAGTCCCTTCAGAATAACAAAAAATTACAAAATTAAAATGTTACATCTGGCCAAATAAAAACAAACATAAAAAGTAAAGGTAAAGATAAATCAGAAAAGAAAATATTAGTTATACACACTGTATACAAAATAAAATTTAAAAAAATCTATATATAAAACTCTTGAAACCTTACCAAGACACTTAAAACTACGTACAATTGTAAAATATAAATATGAACTTTTAGAAAAAATACATTACAATCTTCTTAGCAGTAAACTCTGTGTTTCTGTTGAAAAAAAAACAAAAAAAAAAAAACAAAGTCGAATCTGCTAATAAGTATTTCAGTTATGAGCTACATGTAAATACATTATTATGAATAATATGTAATTTTACATAAATGGTTAGCGGGTATCTGACTGTTTTTGGGACAGGAGGGTTTTGAATGTAGATAGGGATAAAAAATGTCGAATTTTGATATGAAAGGAATTCCAAAAATTAACAGAGCGAGCTATGAAGGATTTCTTAAAATAATTTCAAGTTTTATTTCCCTCTTCTTTTTTCTATATTAGTAGACTACTTATAGCACTTGCGGACTACAAAATGTCACCTTTAGCAAAAAACAGAATAAATATGGAAAATTATTAAATAAAACCTTTTCCACTAACAGAATTCGAATATGTAGTTAACCATTTAGAGTACATATTGGAAATCGACCTTTGAATAAGCAACTTAATTACTTATGAAATTATTAAATAAAATTTTTAAAAGTTTTTAAATTCATATTTTTTTAATCTTACTTATTGTATATTGAGCAGAAATAATAGAAATCTGTGATATGTTTTGATGATGAAGATTCCTCTTAAATTAGAAAAAATAAATAAAATTGTCAAATTAACCGAAAAGAATACTTTTTATGGAAAACTCTTAATGGTCACACGAAACCTTATTCCATTATCAACTGAATAAATAATAATAAATAAAAAGTGGTTCATATAAATTGTACTAATATAAGGAAAACTATAGAGTCTTGGACTTAGTACACACTGCGAATTATTGCCATGGAAACTCGCTTACTTTTTTCTAAATAACTCGAAAATCATACAATCCTATATATTACTTCTTAAAGGTGTTTTTTTTTTTTTGTCGGTACGCCATAACTTCGTCAATTCTTCATCAAATCCAATGATTGACCACTCATTTTGAAGATATTCTTCTCCTTCACATGCGAAAAATAGTCCTATCCTTCCGAAATTTCTAAAAAAAAAAATGTTATGGAGGAAAAAAAATGTATTTGCGAATAACTCAAAAAGTATGCATTGATTGTACCCATGATAATTAGAAAGATTACTAAATTACCTAAAAAAAAAAAATCGCAAAAATCGGACTATTATTAACAAAGATACAGTCCATTAGTTTTGGTATACTTAAAAATGTCTTCCTGTTTAAAGATACTGCATTTAGGAGTAAAAAAGTCTACTTCATTCTTTTTCCTGGTTGATATATTAACTTTATTATTTCATAAAGACATTTAGGTGCTCTTACATTTTATTTATTTTTTTTAATAATTTAGAATATTCCATGATCGAGGCTTTATTTTGTCTTTATTATCTTTCCGCTCAAGGTTTAAAAATAGGTCCTAGCAAAGCAATTTGTAGAAATCTTTTGGTCTACTATGTTAAATGGAATATTGTAACCAGCCAAAGAAAAATAATTAATTCCTTCCTTACATAATACATAGCAACTACTTAATTCCATATTTTTTTGCTATTTCTTCATTAAACAAAATTTTCTGCGAATTTTT